AGTGACCAGCGAGGCCTGCAGCGTGGTCTTCTCAGCAGGCGTCCCATGGCCCATAGCTGGAGCTCTGCCCACTGCCTGGTCTGGCGGTAGTCACAGGAGGCCCCCGGTCATGGCGGAGGTGCCGGGGGCTGTGCTCCCCACGGATGCTCCCTGCTCACTGACCATCTTCTTGACCCACATGGCAAACAAGTGACTCAGGAAAGGTCTGCAAGCAGCTCCTGTGAGGTAGGGGCAAGGCCCCCGGGACCCTCAGACCCAGGCCAGGAAGACCCCAGAGATTTGGGATCCCACTCTGGAAGCCAGACAGTCACCAGAAGACTGGGCAGAGGGGCAGCCCCTGGCTCGGCACCAGCAGGTGCTCAGGGGTCTGCCAGCCCCACCCGACTAGAGGGGTCCTGGTGAGAGTAGAGCCTCAGGGAGGGGTGAGGTTTGGCCAAGCTGACCCTGAAGACCCAGTCTGGGCAGAAACTAAAGGTGGGGGTGAAGAGGCTCCTACCCCAGATACAGACTGGAAGCTGTACCTGGGCATCTTGGAGTAGCTGTGGGGGCCCCGGGAAGTGGTGAGGGTCAAGAGTCTCTATAGAGGGATCTCCACTTGAGCCTGAGGTAAAAACTACGATGCCCTGGGAAGGGGGCTCTGCAGCTGGTGGGCAGCCAACCCCAGGGAGGCCTGGACGGTGGGGGTAGGGGGGCTCCGCAAGGGGCAGCCACTGGTTTGGCCACTCAGCTGAACGGTCACCTGTACCCACATACACAAGTGGTGCCCCTGTGGTACATAGGTGATTCACCAGGCAGGACTCAGCTGGCACGGAGCTGGGTAAGTGCGAGGTGGAGGGAAGCCAGGGGCCTCAGAGAGTGGCCATGGGGTCCCGGACACTGGCAGCTCTGTCCTCTAGAGTAAACACTGCAGGCGGCCGAACCTCCATGGCCTCCTGCTGACCCAGGGCCTGACCCAGCCCGGTGACCCGAGAAGGAAACCCAAGCCCTGGCCCCTCCCTCCAGTGATGTCTGAAAGTCTCAGCAGCCCAGCCATAGCGGCCCACCTGATCCCGACAGGGAGTGAGGTATGGATAGCCCAAGCCAGCCAGGCTCAAGCCCCACACGCATCCCCGGCCCTTAGGCCCCAGAGAGACTGGACAGCCTCCACAGCGAAGGCCTGGAAGTGCCTCCTGGGGTCTGGCCTCGCTGTGTCCTGCTGTTGAGAGCCTCAGGGCCAGGAGAGGGGGACTGGGAGTCTGCTTTTGCAGACACTTCAGTTCAGAAATGGAGTTTTGCTTGGCCCTCTGACACCCCTTCCTGTTCACTCCTGTTCTCACTGCCACCCCCTCACACACCCAGGTTCTGACAGGACAGCCTGGAGGGGCCGCGGGCACAGGTGGGGGTCCCTCCTGCCCCCCCCCCATGTGTGTGTGTGACACACCGACTATTGCAAAACTGATGTTATCACACAAGGAACCCGTGAGTCATTGCCTGAGAGTGGGGTTGCACCCCAAACCCTCCTGAACAAAGGCCTTTTGTCCCCGAGCCCCCCCACCCCCACCAGGCCACCTGTCAGACACGCAGGCGGGCAGACGTGCTGATGGCGGCAGCAGGCACAGGCACGGGCAGGGCATGTTTCTCACCACCTCGACCCACCTCTTGAGCCGGGCTGCTAGAGCCCTGGGGCTGTGGGAGACCCTGGGCTGAGCAAGCGGCAGCTCCTGGGTCTACTTAGGTTGCTGGGGCTGGAAATCCAGCACCTTGTTGCCCCTGGGCAGGGGCCTGAGGCCACACAGAGCTCGGAGCCCACTGGCCAAGCCCAGTCAGTGAGTGAAGGCCCCAGGATGCAGTGTCCCCTGCTCCCCAGCCACAGCCCAGTCCTGACTCAGCACTCTGTGTGCAGGACAGAAGCCTTGGACAAGATGATGGCTCCCACTGCTCCCGGAAGCCTCTGCCCCAGGACAGGGTGCTGGAAGCCCCTCTTTGGGGGAGGACCCATCTTCCTTGCCCCGTCACCCAGGGTCCCTGCCTAGCACCATGAGTCCACCTTGAGGCCCAGCAGAGCAGCACCTCCCACCTCAGGGTCCGGCAGTTTTATGGCCGCCAGCCCCACCATCCAGTACAATGGGCTCACTGACTGGGCCACAGCCTCTCCTGGAAGCCTTACCCCTACCTGTCTCATCCCACAACCCAGAGGGGACCATGGGAGGTGGGGCAGGCCGCCTTCTTGTTTACAGCCAGAAGCCCCCCATCCTGGCCCTCCCTGCCCCTGCCAGGGCCTGGGGTGAGGCCCGGCTGCCCAGCTGGAGGCTGCTTTTGGCCCCCGAGAGGACTTTCCAGCTGTCCGAGCCAGAGGCCCACATTCCTGACTGTACTCAAACCGGACAGCAGCAGAGGGCTCTTGGGGGGCAGACTCTGACCCAACACTAAGACCTGCCTATCCCCAGCCTCCCTGGGCCACTTTGGGGCCAGAAAGGGCTGGGCTAATGCAGCCTGGATGTATCCACAAGACCGGAGCTTGGGACGCGCAGGGCCAAGGGCCCCCCCCAGCCCCCTGCCTGGCAGGCGGCAGGTCAGACAGAGGTTCTGGGCAGTGAGCCCTAGGAGGGTCAGCCCAGCAATCCTACTGCTCCGGGGTGAGGCTCAGGTCAGGGGTCAACCCGAGGCCGGCTAGCACTCTGCTAGCCACTTTGGCTCTGGCCCCAGCCAGATGCTCGGGCCACCCAGAGCCCAGCTCCAAAACCAGAGAAGCCAGGCCAGGAAAACAGCCCCATCCCCCAGGCTCCTCCACCCCAGGGTCCCCAGCAAGCCCCTCGCCCTGAGCGGCAGCAGCTCTGGCCCAGCCTGCACCCCACTCACAGGACCCCTGCTCAGGCTGGGTGGACATGACTGCAGGGCCCAGGAAGCCTGTCCAGCGCCCAAGTTGGGTTGGCCCTGGGAGACTGTGCAGCTGCAGCTGGGTCCAAGGTGGGCCTTTGGGGACCTTGCCCTGTGCTGGCCCCTTGTCCCCACAGGGGCCAGCTTGTGTCCTTCAGGGCTGGTCTGGGCATGGGGGCTGGAGACAGCACATTCCAGGGGCCTCACAGCTCCGTGGTAATGGCCTCCGATTAGGGGCAGACACAGGGAAGAAGATGAGACGGCAGGCAGGCGAGTCGGGCGCCAGGATGGGCTTTTGGGGCCCTGGCCACCTGCCCACCGTGAGCTCCGAGGGGCTGGCCCGGCCCCTCCTTCCTCTCCTCATCTCTCTTCTCCTCATCTGTCTGTCGCTCTCTGCAGGGCCCTGAGCCTCGGTCTCTGGGTCTGGGTCTCCATCTCTGTCATCACAGCCCCTACAGCAGGTCTGGATAAGGAGGTGAGACCTCCCTCCCTCGCAGGCCGGGACGGTTGGGGAACTGGCTGGTATTGAAGGACCGTCAGGAGAGCCCCTGGGTGCAGTGAGGCCCTAGGCTGAGAAGGTGTGGCTGGGTGCTGGCCACCTCCCCCCACCCACCCACTGAGTGCCCAGGTTAGTCCTGTAAACGGGTGGTCAGCACATACTGGTGCCTACAGCCAAGCCAAGCTGATACTCTGGACGGCGGCCCCACAAGGACCCTGTAATGGGGAGTGGGGGGCAGGGACCCATTTGCAGGCCTCTGCCTCCCCTGCGTGCCCCTCCTCTCCCCACCTCCTTGACAGGGACCCCAGCGCAGCGCCCACGCCCCCCCTCGCAGGCCGCCAAACATCCCCACTCAGGGCGGGCTGGCGCCTGCAGTCGCTGTGAAGCTGAGACCCACCCAGACTCCCCCAGCCCCTGACGCCACTCTGGGGGGAACAGGGAGAGAGGTGGGAACGGGTCAGCAGCCAAGCCTGCCACCGCACAGACCAGCGCCCGCCCGGCACCAGGGCTCTCCTGCCTCATTACCCAGCAGGCTGCAGGGAGGGTCCCTCCCGTGGCACCCCAGGCCGGTCAGGGTCCCCAGGGGGCAGGGCTGAGTAACAGCCCTCGGGCTCCAGCCTCCACCTGCCCTCCATCTACAGGATAAAGACGCCCTTCTCTGCTCAGCCTTGGAAACTAGGTCTCCAGGCTCAGCTGCTGTGGAATGAGCCCCACCCCCACCCCAGGGCGTCTGTGGAGGGGTCAAGGGCCAGCCTTGTGCCCCAGGTCCAGGCGGGGCTGCCTGCCCAGGGCCCAGGTGCCAATCAGAGATGGCATCTCGGCAGTTCTGCAGAGGCCTGGATGTCCCAGGAACAATTTACATTCTTGGTCTGGGTTTGCCAGAGCGAAGATGGATTGGGGGCAGTGTCCCTGAATCCACAGGACCTGTGGGCAGGGCCTTGGCTGCCCAACCTGGGGTAGTTCTGACCCCATCTTTGGGGTGGCAGTTTGCATGTACCTGGTGTGGCAGCTGCCAAGGGGAAGGCAGCCAGAAGCTAGGTGCCCTGCCAGCCTGGGCCTGGACAACCTTCCCGCAGCACATGTGCGAGTCCCATGCATAGCCCACGCATCTACTCCCTGCACCTGCCCCCACAGGGCCCTCTGCGCCCGACACGTACAGCACATGGCATCCAGCCACCATCCTGCTTGCCAATCTCAAGGGCTTTGAGTGACACAGGCTGAACGCATCTGGGCCCCTGGCCCTGCAGTGTCGATAGGCTGCTGTCCTCCAAGGCTGGGCTGGCCCTGGGCAAGCAGAGGGGAGGTCCCAGGACGTGGGCAGGGCCGAGCAGGGGCCTGTATGGGCATCTGCCCTTTCCTCAGGGTAAACATGGCTCTCAGCAGGCGCATGGGCTGTGGGGGCTGCACTGAGGTCGCAGGAGGCTCGGCCCACTCCCGACCCACATCCCCACTCAAGGAGCATATCCTGAGGCCACATGTCCCGCCGTGGTCGCACCCTCACCCCCACCTCCACAACAACACAGTGACGAGGTGACAGGGAGGGCTGAGACTTTATTCCTGTGACCACAGGTTTGACAGAGGGCAGCTCCCCATGGCCCTCAGGGACCTCAACGCAGCTCCTCTGAGCCCCGTCGGTGTCCTCACATGCCCAGGAGCAGGCCGGAGAAGCTGGAGCCACTCTGGATGGTGAGTGCTGCCCCGGAGCCATTGTCCACGAAGACGGAGGCATACTGTCCAGCCTGCAGATACCCCACAGTGGACGTCAGCACTCACAGGCCCCACCATTGGGCAGTGCGTGGAATGATGACACCCTCCAAGTGGCACACGCCCCAGGCCATGGGGGCTTCCAGGGCCTGAGTGGCCACATGGCCAGTGTCTGTCCGCTTGCTGGGCTGGGCGGTGTCCACACTGAGGCTGGGAGGCACAGGACCCTTCCCGACCCGCCCAGCCCCTCCGGCCTCACCTGCAGCTGTAGCAGCCCCTGCACAGACACTGTGAAGACCCTGCCACTGCCGTCCAGGTCCGAGATGGTCTCCAGGGACCTGGACACGGTGCCGAGGGTGAGGACACAGAAGGCCTGGACCCCGCCCCAGTGCAAACAGGGCAGTCCTGTTTGGGGCAGCCCCTCCCCTCTCCGTGAGCAGCACCATCCACACTCAGGCACCCAACCCCGGCGCCAAGGGCGGCCCCCAGGAGGGCCCACTCACGTGTGGCGATGGCACAGGGACTCGATGCAGACAAGCACCCGCACTGTGTCCCGGGCACGTGGTCGTGCCCTGCTCTGCAGCTCCCTGCGGTCTGTGGGGACAGCGAGCTGCAGCGGCCCTCAGGAAGGATGGGGCAGAGGCGGGGTGGGGCGGGGTGCTTCAGGCACAGTGCCCGAGACTGTAGTGGCTGCGGGTTGGGGAGGTGGGTGACAGGCCCCGTCCAGGCCCCCAGCGGGAGCCAGGGCTGCAGCAGGAGGAATCGGGGGCCTGCGATGTCAGGGCCTACCTGGGAGGGCCAGCTCCCACCCCCACATGCACCCTAGCCTGGCCCCACTCACCTATGTGCAGGCTGGCGGAGAAGTGGAAGATGGCGGTCACTGGTGCTGTGAATCGGCCTGAGGCCAGGCTCAGGCCAGAGCCCCGCAGGAAGGCGCCCTGGGCAGTGGGCTGGAGGGACGGCAGGTGAGCAGTGGGCTGCAGGGCCTGGGGGAGGCGCCTATGACCAACAGCCCCCACCCCAAGCAGGCCCCAGGTGGGCAGGACAGAGGGCATGACCTGTGTGTCTGCGCCCACCTGGGCCTCTGGGCACACACCTCAGGCCCCAGGGGATAGAAAAGGCCTTGAGGGCCCCCACAGCAGGGGCAGGGGAGAGGCAACCCTGCCGCCTACCCACCTGCTGCAAGGTGATGGTCTGGGCACACAGGACCTAGCCCTGACTGGTGGTGACCGCCCCCCGCAGACCCCAGCTGTGTGCATGGGCTGGGTGCCCTCCATGGTGACTGTGGGCCTGGCCTGCTCACCTGAGGGCCCATCCAGCATGCCGCCCCCAGCGGTGCCCCAGAGACCCCGCCCCCCACGCCCACTCACTGCCTGAAAGCCCTGTAGCTCCACCAGCGTCTTCTTGTCCACTAGCACAGGGCCCTTTAACCGGCAGTGGAAGGCTTCAGCCATCAGCTGCCCACCTGTCCCCTCAGGCAGCAACGGGCCCTGTGGCCCTGAAAACCGACGCTCGGTGGCCTCTGTGTGGACAAGGGTGGGGCAGCAGCTTGGAGTCACCTGCAGGGCCTGGGGGACCTCCTAAACCTCCAGGGGTAGTGGGGGCGGGCACCTCACCTCTCAGCACCTCCTGAAACTGACGAAGCAGGGCCTCCTGGGTGACTTCTGCACCGGAGGGTCCTGGGGGGCCAGGGGGGCCAGGGGGCCCTGGGGGGCCAGAGAGGCCTCGCTGGGGAGGCAGGAAGACATGAGGATCCCGGCGGGACCATAGCCACCCCTGCCCTGGGCTGAGACCCCGGGCTCACCGACTTCTTGTCCCGGCTTCGGCACCGTTTCTTCGAGGCCCCATCATCCGGTCTCCGGACAAAGTTCAGCCATGTCATGTGGGCGTCTGAGAACTCGGGTCCCGAGGCCTCGGGCGGCTGAAGGACCAAGGGGCAGAGGCTAGTGCGCTAACCTGGGCCCCACTGGGGCTTCCCTGCAGCCCCCAAGGGAGAGCAGGAAAACTCAGGGCCCAGGCCGCCATGGGCAGTACTTGGGGCAGACACAGGAAGATGGCAGCGCCCCCCCTGAGGACTACAGACCAGGAACACAGGCAGGGCAACGTCTCGGGGCTCTCTTGGAAGCCAGGTGCCTTGTTCAAGTCGTGTGTTGGAGTGACCTGTCCCCTCCCGCTGTGCACTGTTCCCAAGCAGACAACCTCGCCCATATACACACAGGACCAGCCCCACGTGTCCTGTAGGGGCGTGGCCCTGGCTGAGGTGGGTGGTGGAGGGCCTCTCTGGGAGTCCCAGAACCTGGGGCTAGGCTGGCGAAGGGCAGGCGCAGGTCCTGTGCTGTGCTGGCATCAGATGTGTGAGCTGGCAGCCTCTGCTCTCAAGCCAGCCCTGCTCCCCAGGCCATAGCAGGCCAGCCCCCTTGCTCTTGGAGGAAGGGCTGGGAGGGGCAGAGCAGGGCTGCCTGAGAGCATGCCCCAGCCCCAGCCCTCCAAGCACCCCTGCTATGCACCAGGCGAGACCCGCCTGAGTCTGAGAAGGACACTTGTGCTCTTTAAGGGGGTGTGGGCTGGAGAGGAAGTCTGTACCAGACTCAGACAGGAAACCCATAAAATGGGCAGGAACACAGCAGAGAGAGCCGTCCAAGCAGGACAAGCCGAGGGGTCCTGGCCCAAGGTTCAGTCCAGCGGTCGGCCCTCAGCCCCAAACACAGTGAGAGTGGGGCTCCTGGGGCAGGTGCAGCCTCCTGGCCAGGGAAGGCCAGGGCTCTTTCCCAGTGGACCAGACAGGCCTCTGTCCTGGGGCGCTGAGATGGGTAGGTGCGCGGGGTGCCTCCCACCCCTGACCTAGGCCCTACCCAGGGAAGAGAGAAGCCAAGAATACTTATAAATCTCTGATTTCTGCCTGTTCCCCTGGCCATCACAGAGCCCGGCTGCACCTGAGGGACCCTGGGGCCCTGGAGGACCAGGTGCATCGGTGGTGTCTGGGGGCATGTGTCACAGGGCCCGGGGCACCCCCTACTGAGGCCCCAACATGGACAGAGGTTCACCTGTCTGTCTCCAGAGAGGCAGGCCTGGGCAGGGTGGAAACTGCCACTAAAGAGCTCTCCCCTGGGCTGCAGCCCACTCTTGGCTGGCTGGCTGGCAGGGCCCAAGGACCCAGTATCCTCAGCCTGCCCATCTGGAAAACGGGGCCTCAGGCTCCAGCGGGCCGCGTGGGCTGAGAGCAGCCAGGCAGGCCGCCTGGGAGACGCCCTTGGGCGGCAGGAGGCCGGGATCAAAGGCACACAAGGGCAGGGAAGGGGGGGTGGAGAAGACGACACGACTGCCCTGGTAACCTCCATCCTCCATTCCCCTCCCAATCCTGCAAACCCTGGGGTCAGCTCTAAGACCCCTCAGGAGATTCTCAGCCAAAAAGGACAGAGGCTCGGGCTGAGGCAGGTGTGGGGGTCGCAGGTCTCAGAGGACCCAGGCAGGCTGCAGCCAGAGGAACTCCAAGGACAGGAGCACATCCCATGCCAGAGGCCACAGGGGCTGCTGGCCACACAGCAAGGGGTTAGGGTGAGGTCCTCCAGGAAGCACAGGATCCAAGTTGGCCCCCTCTCCAACTGCGGGAGTGGTAGGTGCCATTCGGGTTCCCAACTGGGCAGCCACCCCTTCTAAATTAGCAGTTACAGCTAATGGCAGCAGGTTGCTGGGGCAGGATGGACCTAAGGCTTCAAAGGGTTCGGTGTAACCCGGCTGGGAAGCCTCTCCCCTCCCCCAACTCCTCCCCGGGGCCAGCAGGGGACAAGGCGGGTGTGTGTGTGTGTGTGGGGGGGGTCCTGTCTGCAGAGGATCCTGCCCAAAGCCTCACCCCACCAAGATGGGAAGGGGGCCTGGAGAGCTGGGTGAGGCAGAGCCTCTGGCTGAGAGGACAGCGCCCCACGAGTTCAAGCCCCCAGGTGCACCCAGTCCACGTACCTTGGGGGAGCCAGACAGGCCCTCGCTGTTGGCCACTGTGGCGTTGGGGGGCTCCGTGCGCTGGCCCGGCTGTCGCAGCCTTTTGGGCTCCCGCCGGGCCCCGACGCCCCCGAGGAGCACGAGGTGCGGCCAGAGGAAGGCCACGGCCACAGCCCAGGCCCAGCGCATGGTGGACGATGGTTCCGGACCTCCGCGGCGGCTCAGCGCTGCACGCAGGTGGGCCCGCACGCGCTCATGGAGGCCGCGCAGCCGGCGCTCAGAGTCCCCGCACGGAGGCACAGCCCCGGGGGACGGCGACGACTGGCTGCTGCTGATGCATGTCTGCGCGGGATGGGCCAGGCGCGGTGGCTCGACGGGCAACACAACAGGCAGTCGGAGCAGACTGACGGCTCAGACGGTGCAAGAGACGCGCTCCGAGCCCCGCGGGTTGGTGCCGGCCTCCACTGGCGAGCGCAGTGCCCTCGCCGACCGCGCCGCCGCCAAATAAACCCTCCCCTCCGCCCGAAGCTGGCGGACTCTAAGGGGGAGGGTTCACACGGGTAATCCGTCAGCGGGATCCCAAGCCGGCCCGGGGGCGTGGACAAGGGCGGGCACCCCAACCCCACTGACCAGCGCCTCCGTACTTGTGCTAAGGAGCAAGTGACTGCCGAGGGGCTTCGCCTCCCCAGGCCCCCCCCCCCAAGGACTTGGAAACAGCCCGCACCACTTTCCAGGAGGACGACTCACCCTGAGAACCATTAACACGGATTGGCCCCGCCCCCTTCAGGGTGGAGACCTCCATCAGGGGCCCACAGCCCATGAGCCCCTTCCTGTCCCCCACCCCATTCAGGCTCTCCTGCACATCCCCCAGGTCCCCCTACCCCAGGGTCCTGGTGGTGCCTGAAAGCCGGGTAGCTGACCCACTGGGCTCCCAGCCTTGTACTGACCTGGATGACCCTGGGTACCACTCCTGTGGCCAGCAAGGGAGGGACTGGTTGACCTCAGAGGAAGGGCACAGAAGGTGGCTGAGGCTGCCCCGAAGTCCTTCTGCACCCTCTTCTGGGGGCACAGGGCCAGCCCTTACTGCTTGAGGGGCTGCCCTCACCCAGCCAGGCCTCCTGGCTTCCTGCCGTCCTGAGCCAGCAGGGGACGGGAGGCGAGCCCCTGGGCCAGTCCCCTCGGAGGTCACTAGCTGAGCCCCATGTGGCTGTGCTAGGCCAGAAGAGCCCCTTTCCCTCACAGCTGTCCAGCCCCAGGAGAGGGACCAAAACTTCCCTCTAGCTGGGCCTGAGCGACAGTGGACAGGAAGGTCCTCAGGAGAGTCGGGACCCTTCCTTAACTCCTCCCGGGCTGCAGGCAGCAGGACGGCTGGGGCCAGTTCAAGTCAGCAGGCCCTGCGGACTCAGTCCCTGCACGGTGGGCACCCAGGTGGGTATGGACCAAGGCTAAGAATGGTCAGAGCCATGGCTGGCCCCTAAAGGAGCCGCTGCTTACAGTCCAGCCTCGAGTAAGGTGGGGCACACTGGTCCCGGTGGACAGCACGGAACAGCCCTACTGATCCTCTTTAATTTCCAGACACCCCAGCCCAGGCTACGTCCATGGTCGGCTATAGGCAGAGCCGAGCCAAAGACAAGCTGGCGGGGAAGATGTGAGGACCGCCCATCCAGGGACACCCGTCCATCCTGGCTCATGCAAAAGTGGTCAGTTCCAGGGACAAGAGCACCGGTTCTGGTGACCGCTGAGATCGCTGTTGAAACCTGGATCGTGAGGAGGGTCACACTGCAGGAAACCCCCTTTTTGCCCCTCCTGGCTGGAACCCTAGATGTGACCTGTGCCTAGCAGACACTCCAAGCTGCCAGACCCCTCCTCAGAGGCTGGGCACCTGCCTTTATGTCACCTGCATTCTGGTGGCCCAGTCCTTCAAGGAAACCTGAGTGTGCCAGCAGTGCCGCTGGCAATGCACCAGCTGTGACTGACTGCTGTGGGGACAGAGCCAGCTGTGCCAGCCTCCAACAATCCTATGGCAGATGGCCTCTGCAGCTGGACAGAGGAGCCCATGGCGATGGCAGGAGAGGCTGGGCCTCAAAACAGTTCCAACCCGGGGCCGGCCGAGTAGCGCGTTGATTAAGAGCTGGCTTGGGATGCCAGAGGGCCCCAGTTTGGATCCCACATATGAGGGCCAGTGACACTGCCCTCTACAGCTAAGATGGTGAACAACAGCATGACCTGGAGCTGGGCTGCTGTGAGTCGTGGGCAATGGCGTATGCTGCAGCCCCCGCTGCAGTGGGTTGCCATGGGCTACCATGTGTGGCCGGCAGCCAGCATGAGCGGCCAGCAGCTGGTGTGAGCTGCCAAGAGACGCTGTGAGTGGCCGTCCAGAGGCCTGCAACCAATCTGCCTCAGCCGGGAAGAGGGCAATGATAATACCAACATGGGCCAGTGAAGCAACCTCCTCCACAACTAGACTAAAGAACAAAACGACAGCAACTTGTCTGTTCCCCTCCCCCAATTCCCCAATAAAATCTTAAAAAAAAAAACCAGTTCCAACCCCACCCAAACCCTGGGTCCTGCTTCCATCCCCAGACCCCTTCACAACAAGCAAGAAGGTCCATGTGTCTCAGCCAGGCCATGCTCTGCGGTAGGGATACTGCCCCCCCCCCAAGCTTGGGGCTGGTAGGGGCGGGCTCCACAGGTTCCAGTGTCCACATGACAGGGGCCCCACCCCACATATCTTGAGGGTCCTTCTGGGGCCCAGCTCCCCTGGGGAGCACTAGAGCCAACTGGAAAAGGGCTGTAGGGAGCCTGCTAAGTCGCCCACACCTTCCTGCCACAGCTACCAGCTGGAGGGGAGGCTTAGGCCAGTGGTCTCCTCAGCCCCCAGCCCACAGCCCAGACACTGGACACTTTGACTCCCTGGGGCAGGGCTGGACCCCGGAGCCCCGCGGCACAGCCTCTCAGACCAAGGCCTCGGGATGAAAGTCTCAATCTCAGGCCTGGGGACCTTCTCAGGTAGGAACGCAGGAAGTACTTTCTCCAAGACCATTCTCCACACCAAAGATTGCATCACACCTGTCCGTGGGACATCAACTTTATCCAGGGCTTTGCTCCCTTCAAGACAGATTTTGCAACTGACCTGGATGCGCACCTCCAAGGGGGGGGGGTCTAAGAATGCCCAGACACCCTCCACCAGGGGCTGTGACCCCCGAGGGAGAGCAGCAAGGCCACAGTGGGGCAGTAGGCCCCGTGGACTCCAGGTAGACAGAAAGCACCCATCTACCCCCACTGCTGACTCCAGCCTTTAAATGCTGAGACTTCACATGCAGAACAGAACACGTTAAGTTAAGTCAATGGTATTTGCTAAACATTCTGCCTCCCCTGAGCCTCAGCAAACATCGAGGGTGTGGAGCAGACACTGGTGGCCAGCACGGCGTGGCACCGCTACCAGGCTCCACTGTCGGTCTCAGGACACCGCCTCTGCTGCCAACACGGCAGCCCACCCATGCGCTACCTGACCGCTGGGCCCAGGTGAACTTGCATTTATGCCAACACAGACTCAAACGGCACAAAATTTAGGAACAAAGATATAATGAAAAAATTTTTTTCACAAGGGTGGATTAAATACATACAAGTGGTAAATTATAGGGCAATTTTAAATAAATTGATCAAAAACCAAAGGAAATCAAAGATGTAAAAACGCATGGCTGCACTTCAGTTTTCCCGCTGGCCTCTGGAGTGAGGCCAGTGTGTCATCCGGTGGCTCCCACAGGTGAAATCAGCAAACAGACGTAGACCGGGAACACGTCAGCAATCCAAAACTGACACGCCTCTGGCCGCCCACCTCTGAACTTGGCCGGTCCTCCCAGGACAGCCTTCCCCTTGTGACGCCCAGCCCTGTGTCACCTTCTAGGAAGGGCTGGTAGCTGGCACGGGTCCACTGGAAAAAGGAACACATGAGCCTACCTCGAGGGTCAACCCAAGGTATAGACCAGGTACGAGGCAAGCGCCCAAGTGCATGGAAACCACCTGTCGGGTGGGGACCCCTCAGGGACTGCTGGGGGACTCCAGCCCCCACCAGCACAGGAGGGAGCTCCTGGATTGAGAGGCGGGTTCTGCGGGTACCAGGAGCCTGGCGGGGAGGGGCCACCCCCTCAGGAGGACGACACCTTGTGGTCAGAGAGAGCAGACTCCTACCTTCAACCTCACCAACACAAGGAGCGCCTTCCGGGGAGCCAGCTGCTGCATTCCAGGCGAACAGCATGAAGGCGCCTGAGCCAAACCCTGCTCCCTGGACCCCGTCCGTGGCCTTCCCTGGCCAGCCCGCCCCGGGCCCCACCACCAGGCCCTCGCCCACGCAGCCGAGCGCATCCCTGGGACCGGCTCCTGCCTGGCGGGTCGGAGCTCCGTGGGACTAAGAACGCACGCAGAGCACTTGTGGGCATCGAGTTTTGTATTTTTAAGTGACCAAATCTAATAAAATGAAAAACGGGTTTACTAAAACAGGTCCAAGAGACGATACAGGAGATAAGCTCTACCCACAGCGCGAGGCCCTCCTCCTCGACACCCGAGCTCCAGGCCGCCGGCAGGCCCCAGGCGAGGACAGGGGCTCGCGATCTCGCGGCTGCTCCAAATCCAAACCACACACTCTGGCTTTTGTTTTCCTCTTAAAGGTTTTTGAAAAGCTAACCCCACGAGTCAGGCGGGTCCGCCCTGCGCTCGGCGGCACGGCCAGCCAGTGGCAGGCTTGGGCCCGGCGTCCCCTGTTGGCGACCACGTGTGCCGGCGGTGGCGTGCGGCTCACTCCTGAGCTATGCTCCTCAGCACGTACTTGACCGTGTAGGCGAAGGCGGCAAAGCCCACTATGACAAACAAGTTCGCCAGGGCGCCGCCCAGGAGTCCGTGGTGCCGGTTGGCCTGCTGCAGGCCCGCGAGGTGGGCGGCCCCCGGCGCGTGCGCATTGAGGCGCTGGAGCCCGTTCTGGCCGTGGTGCGCGGCCCCGTCTGGAACCACGTCTGGGAGCGGGAGAGCCGGGGGTCTGCTGCTGAGTTCATCCTGTGCTTTCTGCTTCTGTTTAATTTCCTACGAGAACAGCAGCAAGAAAGAAGGGTGGGTCTACACAAACCAGGGAGCGTCCTGCGATCCACCATGAGGCCCTGCGAGGTCGCAGCCGCTGACACCCGGCCTCGCAGGTGGGCGCCGCTGCGACTGGTTTACAGATGTGGGGGCCCAGTGACTGGCCAGAATCACCAAGCCTGCACCTCGCGGGCCCGGGACAAAGCCAGGTCCCAATGACCTGAATGACTGTGGCCCTGACCTGCCTGTGGCCCAGCCTCCCTCCCTCACGGCCACCAAGGCCAGGGAGCATTCCAGTCCCTCAAAGCAGGGACTGTGCCAGCTCCACACCCTGCTGGGGACAGGCCCAGGCCCCGCTTTTCCAGACCCTTGTGTGTATGTGTGTGTGTGTGTGGGGGGGGTAATGACAGGACCCTCAGTGCCCAGGGTCACCAGGTGCACACATTTTCTCTTTGGAAAGAACTCGATCTGAGTGTTTCTGACCCGGGGAAGCAAAACTGCCGCCAGCTTTCTTACCTCTGCGACTTCGGGAAACAATTCACAAAAGACTTTGTCTTTTAAATTAAACGCTAAACTCTGTGCAGCCAGTTGTCTCTTCTGGGAAGAAAGAGAAGGGAAAGAGCATCCCAATCAAAGGCTAATTCCAATTCTTTAAAATTCTAAAAGCAGATCATTTTATAGTCAATGGCTGCTGTCTTCATCGTGTTGGACACACTCAATAAGCTTGGTCTTCACAAAAATAAGCTAATTTGCAGTCTTATAAAGACCTGTTTATCTCTCCACTATCTTCAGTTAATGATCTTAAACTTGATTCCTACTTAAATAATAGGAAAATAAAAGCCAGTTAACAAGCCCCTCACCAAGTGGAGGGGCTGCAATGCTGCCCACCCCTCCCAGGGTCTCTCCAGGGGTCCCTGGGAAGCAGGGATAAGGGCAGGAGCCCCCCAACACACAAACCACGCTGTGAACCCCTCACCGTGAAGTCTGATGTCTCTATGCTGCCCAGGGTGGGCCCCTTCTCCACCATGAAGCTCAGGAGCCCAGTCAGGATGGTGGACACAGACCAGGCCGGGTTCCATGTGTCTGGGTGGAAATCCGTGATGGAAAGACACAGCCTGCAAAAAGGGGACCGCTCACCAGAGCACACGCTCATTGGGGCCACACTCACTCGCGCTTCAGGAGCAACGCCGAGCCTTACCTCGTATTGCACTTGAATCTTCCATTGGGAGTGATCATATAAATACTAGGAGGTTTGAAAGGAAACTCTCTGGGGAAAATCAGCTTTCCATGGTAATAGCCACCTATATCCAAACAGAAAGAGCCTTGTCTCGGTCCAGCGCAGCGCCTCCTGGTCTCCACCCCAGCCCCCACCTGGGTGCCTGCTGGCTGACCACCCGCTTCCCCCCTCAACCAGAGCAGAGCGTCAGAGAAGCTGCATGGGCTCCTCGCCACCCCTCAACCCCCGGGAAGCACAGCAGCTGAGGCCACTCCTGCTCCAGGTCCCCGCTCTCCTGCACCACCCCCTTCTCCTCCACCAAGCTACACCAGCAGCAAGCAAGCCTGCCAGCATTTCCCCACCTGAAAACACAACAGAAAACAAAACTCTGAATCCACAGCCATCCAGTTCCTGCCTCCTGCTCCCTCGTTATGCACAACCCTGGGAGCCCCGTCAGTGGCGGCCATGCTTGCCCATCGCCTGAAAAACCTCTTGCTCCCACCATCGTCCCTCAAATCTGACCCTGAGGTCACCAGACATCCCCACTGGGTGTCTGACCACATCTCAGGCTCACGACCACTCCTGACTCTGCCTCCTTGAAGACCCACCCTGTTTGGCTCCCCGTTCCTGCTCCCACCACCAGCCCAGGCAACCCAGCTGCAGCTGGTGCTCTCCCCCTACCACTTGCACTTCTGGGGCCTCACCTGGCCTCACATGACATGGATGTACCTGATGACTCTCCAACTGGCCCCTCCACCTGGACCCCTCTCCAAACTCCAGGCCCATCTGGGTGACACTGCCCCAAAAAGGCCCAAGACAGAATTCCTGCTATTTCACGCAAGCAGCGACTCCGTCCTTAGCTGTTCAGACTAAAATCTGAGCGCCCCGGGCCCTCATCACACCTACTCCTGCAGCAGACTGACGCTGGCCCCACCATCCCGCGCTTCGGATGGCCTTGCTGGCCTCACTGCCTCCATCCCTGCTCACTTAGCTCAGGGTCCCACCAGCCTGCCCCATGTGAGGCCTCACAGCCTGGCTCTGAGGACAGGCCCTGGGGGCTTGTTAAAAATGCAAAGCCCCAGGCCCACCCCAGACAGGCTGAGCTGAGCAGGACATGTGTGTTTATGCGCACGCATGCACATACAGCGAGGCTTGAGGAGCACCGCCCCAGGTGTGCTACCGCCTCCAGGACTGGGACACACCAGTCCCCAATCGCCATGGGGCTCTGCACCAACACCACTCTTGGGTGAGTCCTGCCACCACCTTGTAGGGGCTTCAGTGGCCCATGAGAGGTGAACGCTAGAAATGGCAGAGGAGCAGTGCACAAAGTCACTGAGAAGACGCCCGATGGAAAATGCATGAAACCCAAGTGGAGCAGCCCTGTGACTGGAAACCCCGTCTGCTCAGTGCCCATCAGGGAGTGACCTGAAGTGTGTGGGAGCTCTGTGGCGGGCAGTGGGGGCGCTGCCTGGCTGAGTGTGAGCCCGCAGGGAACCTAAGCACGCTGACCAGTGGTCCTGACTCTCCTCCACACCCCACTCAGAAATGCACACCAGTGCACCAGAATCCCGCCAGGCGGAAGGTCCTGAGAGAGGCAGGGCCCAGGCATGGCCCCTGCGCACTGTGGGGTCCGTGCAGAAGTGGGCGGAGGGGACCCTTAGGGGAACAAACTCAAGGGGAGATAGCATGCTGTGACACGCACAGGGACCTGCTTACATAAAACCACAGACATATGAAGACGTGCGCGTCGCTCTGCAGAGAGGACGTTCTGGGGAAATCCATGTTTGAGGGGAGACCTGGGAGGTGTCACCCCGAGACTAAACAGGGGTGCTGGGAGGGCAGATCCTCGCCCAGAGGTCAAGGGCAGTTCTGCGTGCTCTGAGGGGGGGTGTGAGCCCCTGTGCAGGCAGCCCCCACTCCCTTCAAGCCTAGTGTCCAGGGGACCGAGCCCCAGATGTGGCCCACTCTGGGGACGGAAGGGAGGCCCGTGTGGGCTGCATGGCACTTCCCCTGCTGAGCTGCTCTGTAGCTCGGTCAACAGCCCGGCGGCCACAGTCCTGTCCTGCTGTCCTTCAGAAGCCCAAGTCTTGACTTTAAGCCCAGTGGCTCCTCCCACTATTCTCTATAAAAATTGTTAGCTATTTTATGTCCGGCCCTTTGCCTTTCCATGTAAATCTCAGAATAAAAATTTTAGAATAAGCTTGTGCATGTCTATAAAAAACTTTGTGAGGGTTTTGATGGTTAAAACCTACATACAGGTCAGTTTAGGGATGTCCCTAGCAAGCCACCTGTGAACTATTGGGCCCAGTGGGGCCCAGAGCAAGGACACTGAGCCAGACAGCCATGGACGACAGGAAGGGAAGGTCAGACACCAGAAGCCACAGGGCAAGCGAGGGCACAGCCCACACAGGCCCCCAAGGGCGAGCGCCCTCCCTTGGCCTACTGGGTGTGGCCACTCAGAGGGGTCCCTTAGAGACCCCGCTGAGAGCAGCCGGCTGAGAGCAGCCCTGAGCTGAGGAGGGACAGGCAGCAGGTGCTGAGAGGAAGAGGAGCGGGCAGTGTGGGGGGCAGCAGGAAAGCTTCTGGTCTCCAAAGGGACTCTTTACGGGGAGGATCCAAGGGCCTGACCCAGCAGAGAATTACACAGGAGCCGGGACAGGACAGAAGAGAGCAGGAGTGGCGGGGTTGGGTCTGGAAAGGGAGGCCTCATTCCCCGGGGTGGGGGTGGGGGGGAGACAGGGCAGGCCAGCCAGGGCCAGGAGACTCGGGATCTCCTGCAGTCCCAGCCCCCGCGCACCTGCACACAGGGCTGCCCTCTCCTCTCCCTGCCTCCTCTACCCCATCCAGGCGCCGGGCTCATTTCCGCCAGCAACAGTCCTGGCTCGTCTTGGAGGTGGGGGTCTGTACACTATTAATCAATGTTCATGCTGTGTTTGGAAAACACTAACACCCCGAAGAACAAACGTTAAGCGCCAGGCACGACTGCACTGCGAGGCAAAACACTGCCCGTCCCTGGTGCCCGCTCAAGTTTGGTGAAAACACCCGTATCTAACGCGTGTCTTAATACGACCTGCGCAGTCTGAAGCCCGTCCTGGCCGCACTTCTAGGAACCCTGCCCATCACAAGGCCATTGTAGCTGGCCCCCCGCTGTGGGACATCCGGCAGCCCCGTGCGACGCCCACCCTACAGATCTGCTGTTCTGCACCCAGGTTTCCCGGGACAGATCGTCCCAGAACCGGGACCCTGGGCCACAGGAGAGTCCCGTGAGGCTAGTGACATATCTGCCAAACTACCTTCGAGACAGCTGGACCGTACTCCTCCTCACCTACCCACACCTCTCCTCTGAAGTCTGGCAGTGGCTCTCCAACTTTCTCCTCTACAGCAGGACTTTTCCAGTGAAATCTCATGCAAAACCCCCACGTGCTGCTCCAGCCACCTAAAGTCAGGACGTGGCTGGACTGAAGGCACTGCCCACCTGGCCACGGCTGTGCCCTGGGCTTGCCTGGCCATGGCTACTTCTCCACCAAGACTGACGCCTGGTTCCCCACAGGCCCAGAGGCCTGCTGACTGACAACTTCCAAGGTCACTTTGTACACAGCACCAGAGGACCCTAGGTGGCATCACCAGCCCAGAGTCAGCCACAGTTAGGAGGGGGGAAGTCCCTGCTGACCCAGGGCAGGTCCTGCGGCCTCCCTAAGCCTCAGTGCCCTGCCCAACAAGAGGACTGGGCACAGAGTGTACTCGCTCCACACACCTTTCTTCCTGAGACAACATCCGACGTCAGACTCAACGGGACTCACAGATAGTCCCTGGGGCACGCGAGCAAAAGCACTCTGAACGAGCAACTCCAGGACATAGAGAAAACCAGCGTGCGACCCAAGGAAGTACAATCTGATGAACGCACACCCACGTGAGAGGTGTGCACAGGCCAGGCCTGCTGAGGACACAGGAGCTCGGAGCAGACTTACCTTCATAAGGGGTCATCTCAGGTCCTCGGACCACATAGTGCCTGAGGGAGAGAGGAGAGTTAGCTGGCTCTGGGGATAGGTGGCGAATTCTCCCACCTGAGTCACTGCAGGGCCCGGCCAAAGCCAGATATGCACACGCGCGGTGCACGGACCAAAGGCCAGAGTCAGTTCCTCATGCCACAGAGGCTTGAGTCACCTGTCACAGGATTTCAGAAGCCTACCTTGTGAGTTTTCCACAAGCACGTTCATCTCCACGATGCAATAAGCGAATTAATCCTCTAATCATTAATATTAACCGAAAATTTTAAAAGCTTTCATTTCACAATCCCTCCTTGATGTTTTGTATTTTTCAGTGTGCCTAGATACGATGCAGTAACTAGACAGGGAACAGCTGGTGACACGAGGTGGCTGTGTCCCCAGTGCCAATGTCTGGGAAGAACCAGACACAACCTCGGAGCAAGAGTCCTCCAGCAGGAGCAACAGGGACAGCGTGGCTGTCACCAGTCCACACACGGGGCCCGAGCCCAGGAGTCCGCATGCTGGGACAGGAGCAGCAGCGCCCACAGGGCCTGCTCTCCACGCCACCAAAGGCTTCAGCTCACGTCAAGGTATCCAGGCTCACAGGTCCCACACAGAAAAGCAGAGGGAGGAAACAAATGCCAGGCCAGACGCAACTGCACCCTGTGCTGTCCCTCCCTCTCAACACCTCTTCCCTCCAGGGCACCGTGACACCATTTTAACATGCTGATCAATGACACCTCCTGTCTGCCGGCTGATATGATTTACTCACAAAATGTGCTGTGACCCTGCGTCAGCCAAACAGGAACAGCCCGCAGCCAAGCACAGGACACACCTGAAACGTGGCCTTCATATTACTGCTCCAATTCCTGTGGCAATCTGAGGACGCTGGGAAGGGACAGTGGGAAAGCGTTCCGAGTGCCCAGCAGCGTTGGGGCAGCAGAGTGAGGGGGGGCCACATGCAGGCCTCTGCTCTCTGGGGGCAGAGCTCACACACTGGACCTGACAATGCGTCTGGGGGGCCGCACGTTCTCAGGAGTCTGGACTTTGGCAGTTGCCAGGCAGAGGTGCCCCGTGGCCTGCCCCGGCTGCTGGTGCTGGGTCTCTAATGGGCTGGGCGGGTGGGGGCAGGGAGCGCCTCACACGTGGTCACAGGCAAGTCCTGTGTGACTCCATTGGGATGAGGAGCCTGGCTCGCCTCCCACAGCCTCTGCCCCCTGCGCCTCTTCCGTTTTGCTGATTTTGCTGTCTTTTCACTGTAATAAACCTTAGCAGTGGGTCCTCCCAGTGAATGACCAAATCTGGGGACCCCGACTCACATGTGGGAAGGGGCACCCCACACGATAAAGATGCCCCTGACCGCCGTGGAATGCATCCCTCCATCTGCCCACTATGGGGCCACAGGTGGTTTTTGCCAGCTTGCTCACACGCCGAGGCCCACCTCACCCTGGGGGCCCCATCTGCAAGCCAACGACGGTGCTCCCTGAACAGCTGTCCAACCTGCAAAATGCTTCTGTTTAATGCAGCTAAATCTCCCTCTGCTTGATTAAAAAACTTGAAAGTACTTTTTATGATCAAAACATAAAATACCCTTCAAATGAAGAGAAAATTCTTAATGTTTCTGCCCTACCCTTGATTTCTCACCAAATCCCAACAAACCTGGTGAGGGCAGCTCTTCTGTAGAGGCCTAGAGCCCCCACCACCCTTTAACTTAGCAGAAGTTTCTACGACGCCAATGTTCATGGCACAGGTGCTCTCGTGTTTGCCAAACAGTTGTCTGGCAGAGGCCGGCCCAGTGTCCGGAGCTGGAGTACTGGGACCCGTCCACACTGTCACAGACTGTCTTAAGGCAGGGCAGCTACCTCAGTGCCAAGACACAGAGAAAAGTGCAGAAATGCAGCTTCCCCTCCACAGCTGGGAGACCCCCAGACCCAGTCCTTCCCCAGGAAGGACTCTCCAGCCCCAGCGTGCTGGGGTCAAGGACCCGTCGTGTCTCCAGCTGCCTTTCCCAGTGCCACCTAGCCAGGACAGCAGAGGACCAGTGACAGGCAGTGCAGGGGTGGACGCGGACAGAGCCTTACCACTCCAGAATGTTGGACGGGAGGGGCTCGGCGCAAATGTAAGGCACGGGGTCTTTCTTGATCCGCAGGTAGTCCTGCTTCAGCCGCTGAGTCGCTGTCGTAGGGGCCCTCTTACTGCTGCTGCTGCTCATCTGTTGGAAACAAACACTGACGTTCACAAGGGACCAAACGTGCCATCGCCGCTCCTCCAGAGAGCCCCCGCAGCCGTCGCTCATGCACATTTCACCCCAGCACCCAGAGCTAGGCCTGGGGGCCGTCCTGACTCACCCACCCACTCAGACTCCAAAGACCTTGCAGGCTCTCCTCTTCCATCTGTCCTGCTGTGACCTTCACTTATGTGATGTCAGGGGCAAAGACTTTTTTTTAAAACCTGACCTAATTTCAAACGGTCATAGGTGGAGATGTCTGAAGCCTAGACCTGACTCCCTAACTCTGTGCTTAGTGACATCATGGTGAGGGGCTACTCACAGCATGAAATTCAGAGTGTGCCCCCAACCAGCCCCTGCCAAGGCCAGTTACCTAATTCCCAGCATTCTTCACACTGGGCACGGTGGGTGGAAGGGGCAGGGCAGCCAAGAAAGAACGTCTCTCTAAGACAACAAAGACAGGGGCCCTTGAGAGACGCAGAGCATGTGCTGGCAGCGGGGAAAGACCTTCCGAGCAGAGGCCTAAGAAAGCACAGTGTGCCCAGGAACAGCACTGGGTCACTGTCAGGAGCCGAAGCAGTGAATAGTGACCACCGAGGCTGGCCGGGGAGGCAGGGCCAGGCCGCCAAGCAGCACTCCAGAAGGGTCTCAGGGCCCAGACTTAAGGCACAGCAGGCCTCGGGTTAGAAAGGTGTCTGGCAGTTCAGTGCAGGATGGATACAGCAGCATGGGACAGACGGGGCAGTGCAGGACAGCACCGAAGGCTGGGGACCAGGACTGAAGCAGTGGCTCTCATTCAAGAGAAGAGACATGGCCTGGATCAGGGGACACCTGGGACACCTGAGCTGCATTCCAGAGGCGGAGGGAGGGGTGGGGATGGGGGAGACACGGCTCCCCACTCTCACAGGCCCAGAACAGCTCCAAGTGCATCTGTTTTATATACTGAGTTTCTCATAATCTAAGATGCAATGGTAACAACATTGTGCTGCTAAAAAGAAAGCGTGCAAGCCACAGATGTAGAATGTGACAGACAGGATATGCAGGGAGTGTAGGGTGGAAGGGGAGGCACCAGCATTCAGGCCACAGTGGTGGCAGACTGGGGGTGGGCAGCGAAGGAGGGGCCAAGCCCATGCCGCTCACCCCCACACCTCCAACACTCGGCCACTCAGTGTTCCCCAGCACAGGACATCAGTGGCCGGGCTCTCCACCTGCACCCCTATCTGCACAAACCTGAAGTCGCCTCAGCCTCAGGTCTAAGGACAGCCACGGGCTTGCTCTTTCCTTCCCTCTAGCCCCTGCTCCCGGCTTGGCTCAACAGAGGGGTCTGGGGACCCTGCCCCCTTTGCCAAATTGCATTCTCCTCAGAGCACCATCCGTGCCAGACCCCAACCAGGGGCTGCAGTGCGTACATACTCCGCCCCCCAGGCCTGTAGAGCAGGGCTCAGCCAGGGACCCACAGGGGTCCTCCTGTGCACACCATCGCCCACCCCTGCATCTCACTCTGGGGTTCATAAACCTCGGGGTCCTGGTTCCCGCCTCCTTCCCATTCCCACTGCAAAGTCTCGTCACTTTTTCCATCAACCACACAGCGTGTGTCCCCCCACACACACCCCTGCTCCCATCTCAATCTCAGTTGCTCCAGTACACTTAAGTCATTAACTTTCTCAACGCAGTTCTAATCACAGCCCTTCAAGACTCCCCTACAGCCAGGCAAGTAAACGTCAACACCTCCCGCCTGCCAAGCCCCTACAAAGCAGCGCCAGCCAGCCATTAGTGCCTGACTGCCAAGGCCCCTTCTCGCGCTAGCTGCATGGTGGCTGCTCAGCCCAGCCCAGCGCCACTAGCCGAAAACTCATCTAGGCCCTTCCCATCCTAGCTCAAAGGCCACGTCCCTCAAAAGCCTCCCTGATTTTCTAGTCAGATGCCTCCACACCGGGGAGGCCATCCTTCACTGGCCTCCCCGAGACCCAGCAGACACCACCCGAGTGCCCGCAGCAGGAGCAGGCTACAGACTAGCCTGGGAAGGGAATGCCTTTCCCACACAGCACTGCTTGTGAGCACCTGCCCTGAGACACCAAATGGGCCAGGTGGCTCACCTTGAACTAACAGCTGGTAACAAACAGCAACGATCCAAAATCAGAGCGGCTACGGGACTTGTTCTGTTTCTTTTAAGCATTCACCTAAAGTTAACACTGCCACATATAGTCAATTCACTGGGTAATTCAAACACAGTTGTCTGAACTCAGCGACATGGCTGGGTTGGATGCTTAGGGCAGGTTAACGGACAGCCACAGAAAATAAGCTAGACCACGCCTGGGAAATCCCAAACTTCTCTCAGTCTCACTTCCAAAGCCATAATTTTTTAAATCGTATTTACGATTCAACCACTCAGCACATAAGAAGGAAAGGGCTCCCGGGGCGGCCGGTTGGCTCAGTTGGTTACAGCGCAGTGCTCATAACACCAAGGTTGCCGGTTCAATCCCCACAGGGACCACTGAGTTGCACCCTCCACAACTAGACTGAAACAACTACTTGACTTGGAGCTGATGGGTCCTGGAAAAACCCACTGTTCCCCAATGACCCCTCCCTGTGCCTCACTCAGAACAGTACTCTCATGACCCCTCCAGGTGACTTCAGGTGCCACCGTTTCTCCCAACTTTCCCTATTATCCAAATACAGTGTAGAACACCTACACAGATCAGGTGTGCCTTGGGTTCCCTTCAAGCCAAGTCTCCACAGTGGGGCACACGAGGTGTGTTATAATACAATGAAGGAACTAGACAGCAGACATTAATAAAAAAGACACGGTATGGGTAAAAAGATATTTTAATACCCAAAAGCTGAAGAAAAGTAGCCTGAACCAGCATCACAGGACACAAGCCCCTTCTGTCTCATGTTGAGATAGACTTGTCTGGCCCGCATCCCATTCGCTGGTCCCCTTTCGCTCTGTGCACGTGCAGTGAAGGTGATGGTGTGGCATGAGACCTTGGCCTGACCGACCAGCTGGGCACGTGACACACCCATGCCCAGGACTTTCGCGGAAGTCTCCCCCTTCTCCACCAAGATTGCTTCATGGGCTGGATGGAAGCCCGGGGCTGATGGAGGCAGCCCCACCACCTCTCACGCACCTGCCTGAGCATGGAGCTGCCACGGAGGTGAGCACTGCCCAGCCGAGATCCACCGTGCCCGCAGCAGGAGCACACTGGGCTTTTCAGTCAAGTGGGACCCTCGAGTTCCTTTCTGCGGAAGCCAGATTACGCCAAGCCTCACCCCTCTGGAATGAACAGCAGTGTGGCGAGCTTTATACACCTGTCAGCTCCATTCCCACGAGCAGCGGCCTCACCTCTCTTTGGTGCCAGGGCCCTGCAAGCGGTTGGGAACTGGGTCTGATCTGAGACCAGCTAAGTGGCTTGAACTGAACACGAGGCTGCAAGTTGACACCCGGCCGGAGGCTGAGATCATGCAGGTAATTAGCAGATGTGGAGAGTGAAGCCCGCACAGATGAGGGGCTTGCCGGGGCCCAAGTCCCACTCCTGCCGGCTGGCGGCGGAGTCACCGGCCCCCGGCCTCCCACGCTCACCGCCTGAATTTTCTACTACCCCAAGGGGCACGAACCGTTTCCCGTGGGGCCGTAGGAAGCGGTGTGGGGTTTACCTGTTCCGAGGTGAAGCGGCGGCAGGCCGAGCGGTGCCACCCCCAGCCCGGCGCGGACGGCCAGGACGTATTTACAAACCAAGATCTATGCCGGCTCGTCCCGGAGGTGCCCGTGAGTGTGCCGCCAGCAGGAGGCCGTCCCGTAAGAGGCACACCGTGTGGCCAAACAAACGCCCACGCTGGCCGCAGGACCACGCCGGCCCGGAGCCCCGAGCGCCCCGCCGTAACCGACCTCGGGTTTCGCGCACGGAAGCTCCGGGCCGTGCCGGGCCGGCTCCCCCTGCCCTCCGCTCGGGCCGGCTCCGGCGGGGCGGACGCGCGGCCGAGGCCCCGGCGCAGGCCCGCGGCGCGAACTCACCTCTCCCCGTCGCCGCGCGTGGGCCGCCGCCGCGCTCAGGCTCGCCGTGGTGGAGGCCGGAGCAGGGAGCGGAGAAAGGGGCCCGCGCCGGAGAGCAGCACCGCCCCGGGACCGAGCCCACCGCACCGCCGCAGCGCCGCCGCCGCCTCAGCTTCCAAGATGGCCGTTCGAGGGGCAGGACCATCCTCGCTTCCGATTCCGGTGCGCGGCTCGCTGGGGCGGCCGCTCTAGGCGGCCGGGCGGACGTCGCCAGCATCTCGCTGCTTTCCTCGGCCCCGCGAGACGGGGACAGTCAGCGCGTGCGCACGGGAGGGCAGCTCCGCGGGGCGGGGCCCGAGGTGAGGACTATCGGCGCGTGCGCGCTGGCTGGCAACTCAGCGGGCTGCTGCCCCCGGGCCCCTCGACCAGCGTGTTCAGGCCCCTGCTCCTTTCCCGAGCATCCATCAGCCATATCCCCGTCCGGCGGGCGGCCACGGGGATCCCTGCACACCCCCCCCGCGCTTCCTATACTCCCCTCCCCACGACCCTGGCCCAAGGGGCGTCCTGCCGAGAGGGTGGCCGAGAGGGTGGTCGAGAGGGGGACGCGCCTTTCCGGAGAAGACAGGCCCAGTTAAAGGGTGACCCCGGGGGTGCCTGTGTGAGCCCCACCCTAGGATCCCGACTTTCCCACCAGCACCTTCCAAAGGATCGGCCCAGTCCGGCTGGGGGCCCAGGTCTTGTGCCCACTTAACAGGAGCAGCAGGCACTCGAGGTCCCCTCTCTCCCATCAGTGAGCGAATCTGTCCAAGGTCCCTGAGTCAGGTGCTGCTGGGCCGCCGACTTTGTCTGGCCACCAGTGAGGCGTGGGGACAGTGAGCCCTGCCTGAACCTGTGCCAGGTGGGGTCACTTGTGGGCAAGCCTGCCCAGCCCCTGCCCATGGGGAGAGCCATTCTCATAAAAATAGTTCCATTGTTTCCCTACCAAATTTTCCACCCAGCCTGAATGAAGTCATTATGCACCAGTGGACATTGCATTGAGACTCCTTTTCGGCTCCCACGGTCCCCTCCCTGGCCCTGGGGGTGGGGGAGGCAGAGCTTGGCCACCCTGCCAAGTGAGGGAGGCTGGGGTGGGGGGGCTTGGGTCCCAGTGGGGAGGGTACTGTTCCCGGACAGCAGGGGCCTGGAGCTGGTGCCCTTCGCCTTACATCTGCTGTGGGGTATATTTGGAGGGATGCGAGGATGGCAGGTGGGGATGGGACAGGTGGTGTCTGCACGACAGGAGGGCTGGGTTGCTGGGTCGCCCAGCATACTGTCCACCACCCTCCCTAGAGAGGCAGCCCAGAACAAGGCCAAGTCCGGGGCTGGGGTGCCCCCCTACGGGTTGTGCCGGGGGTGATAATGCCTATAGACTGTGATTTGGGCAGTGGTCATCGGCCTGCACAGAGCCAGAGGAGCCATCACTGAGCAGCAGAGCTGGGGTCCAAAGCCTGACCCCTCAGGCTCCACCACAGCCCTGCCTGCCTCTCAGGATAGGCTAATCGGCCACATGACAATTGACGGTGGACACCAGGCACTGATGGGTCCAGCCATGGCCACTGGCAGAGGGCGGGCGGGCGGAAGGCCAGGCTCACCCACCATACCTCAGACAGGATCTGACTGGCCTGCCGCAGGGCTGGCCTGGGGCCCTGGACGGAACCCAGGAGTGTGCATCACTCAGGCCCCCGGCAGGCCAGTCAGCCCCCCGGGAAGCCAGGCTGCTTCCGCTCCGGGTACTCATCACCCCTGCTGTCCTCCTTCTAGGAAGGCTGGTGTTCCCCGGGGAGGCAGTGGTCCCCTGCACTCCGCCTCCTGCCACCACACTCAGGTGACATCTCAGCCTTTTGCCTTCCCTCCTCCAACCCCTCCTCCCAGAGCTGCAGGGCGGGCCCAGCTGTTTTCAGCTCTTGGAAAGAGGCTGGCACCTGGGGGTTCTGCACAGGTGTGTCTAACACACACCCACTCACACCTGCAGAGCACAGGCAGTGACAATGTGGGGCTGGGGTCTCGGCTGATAGAAGCCCTCTCCTGCCTCAGTTTGTCTCTGTGTAAAGTGGGGGTGCCAGCTTCTGTGGGAACATCTCAATGGGAAGGCTGCAGAGGGAGGCTCAGCTCGGAACTCTCAGCCTCACCCCCAGCTCACCTGCTCACCGAGCACCCCTGAGTCACAGCCCGAGGGGGAAGGTGCCTGAGACAGGGATGGCCAGAAGGTCCTGCCAAGACCCCACAGCCCTCAAATCACCAGCCTCACATACTCGTATGCTGCCTTCCAGTCAGCAAGACCCAGGCTGCCCAGCCATCCAGCCATAGAGCTGGTGGCTTCAGCAGTTGGGGTGGGAGTGGGCAGCTAGCCTGGTGGCAGGTGGTGACCAGAACCTTCTCAAACCCCAAAGCTGCCCTCAGAAGAGACTTCTGCCAGCAAGCATGGTGGATGGCCGAGCTGCAGGAAGGGGACAATGCCATCCACTCCTGAGCACCTTGGATGAGGGCCCCACCCTCTGTGTCATAAGAGCTGCCAGGAAACCAAAAAGGGTTAGAACCAGGAAAACATCTCCCAATTGTCTGAACTCAGACCTAAAGGTCCAAGTCACATCTGACCAGTAAGGACCATCTGGCCAAGGCACCAAAGAGCCAGACTGGAGGTGACAAGGAAGAAGTGTGCACACACCCCATCCCTTACAGCAGGAGATACCTGGCCAGACCCTGAACCCTACAGAGGCCTGCCCCACAGCTGCAACCTCACACACTACCCACCCCAGTTGGCTGGGGGCGCCTCCAGGATCCCCCACTCTGGTGGCCAGAGCCAGTGCCTGACACCAGTCAGTTGTTGGGGGAGGCAAGAGGACAATGGCACCGAGGAGCCCACATTCGCCTGGGGCAGGGACTCCAGGTGGGCCTGCCCCGAAGCCCAGGGAGGGGGACCCACCTGCCCATGCCCACCGGGAAGCCCGCAGGCCTGCAGACCCAGACATCACACCTGTTGCGCCAGACACCCCAGGCCAACGCTTTGCTGGCCCTGAGGGTGGGAACACCCACAGGAGAGGAAGCTGAGCCCAGAGGGATTCCACAAAATGCCAGGCATCTGCAGTCTCCAGGGTACCCCAGCCTGGAAGAGGACGCCGTGATAGCCCAGCCTCAGTGGAGGCCGCCACTCGAAGGCCCAGTGGGGCTGTGCTCAGCAGGGTGGGGCCAGCCGTGCCTGCCTGACCTTCTCGTAGGCCTTATCATGTTCTGTCCACAGCCATTGAATGACCACATGGGCTCACATCATGCTAGGAGCTGGAGACGCCCTGTACTGACCCCGCCTACACTTCCTGCTTCTCCAGGGCCCACAGGGCCTGGTGAGGTAGGCGAGGGGACAGGCCAGGAAGGGTCGGGGACTGCTAGTCTCACTGTCACTGGACGCAGTCTCTGTGTCATGGTGAGGCATCCAGCGGCTTCCTCTGCCCTCTGAAAGACAGGCTCTGGGTGACCTTCTCCCCTCCCCGGGGACCCAGACATAGGTGTGGACCCAGTCGCTGACCCTCAGCCCCCAGAGCCTTCTGTTGGCGCCCCAGCAGTCCTGGCAGTCCTAGATGGTAAGGAGGGTCTGTGTCTTCTCCTTGACCAGCTCTGCAGAGCCCCCACACGGCATGGGTCATCGCAGGCGAGCCCCTGCCCCTGACCAGGACTCCTGCTCCCTACAAGCTGGCCAGGACCCTCCAGCCAGACCTGGGTGGGTCCCTGAGGCTGGGCTCTCCAGCCCCTTTCCAGGTGGCTCACTTTGCAACCTCCGTGATGCTGGGAGACACAGGGTGCTCAGGCTCTAACTACCCAGAGTGCCTGGGGCCTTCCTCTTCTGCCTAGAGGCCTCCCCCAGGGCAGTGTGTCCCCCAGTCACCCCACAAAGGAAAACACTCAGGGCGGCAGACCAGTGACACCCCAGGCCTATGCTAAGTCTGTGGGCTCTGATGGGCCTGGGGAGTGGATTCTACACACCAGTGACAGCAGCTGGTCTCACTCCTGAGCTTCGAGCACAAAGAGGCACCTCAGGCCTGTTTTGCACTTGAGGAAATGGGCTCAGAGACATTGAGTAATTTTGGAAAGGTACACCAGTGAGTGACAGAGCCATGATTTGCACCCACACCCTGGTGAGTGCAGGACCAGCTCTTCCCCAAGTATGACTTCCCTCTCCCAGATGTCACCAGTAGTCATCTGCCTCCTTCCTAAACCACTGGGAGGGGACCTCACCCCTTCTCACAGCCCAGGCCACAAGCAAGGCTGGTCGGGAGAGGGGGTCCGTCCTTCATCCCAGCCCAGGTCCTTAGCACTGATTTAGGTTGGGGTGTCAGGGACCTTGAGCCTGCCCTGGGGAGGGAGCAAGAAGGCCCGAGCTGACTCCTCAGACCCGGGACCAGGCTGAGGGTCTGGTCATCTGAGATGGTGGGCCTCTGGGTCATCCTGGGGACATCTTGGGTCCCTCAGTGGGGCCAGAGCTGGTGAAAGGGCCTAGGGGCGGGGTACTCGGTCGTCCTGCCTTCACCGCACCGTCCTGCCTCCCACAATCACACACAGGCCGAGGATTTCAGCCTCAGAGACAGTGTGACTTGCGACTTGAGTGTGGTGTGTTCTTAGTGTGTGTTTGTGGCCATGACGTGTGGTATGTCCTCTTCATGTGTGGTGTGATCGGTAGTGGCCTTAGTGTCTGACGGGACGGCTGAGCTGTGTGCCTTGGGACTTCAAGTACCATCTCCACACCCAAGCCCCAGGTTGTTCCCACAATTAGCCCGTGCCAGTGGCTGGGTGGCTGGCCCTGGAGGCACCTGAGTTCTGGGAGCAGAGACCCCTGCCCAGCGTCCCTTGGGCACAGACACCTGTGCTTAGAGCTGGCAGTGTGAACTGGGCAGGCGGTGGCGAGCAGTCAGGGAGCTGAGGGGCGGGACACGCCGGGGTCTGCCAAGCAGGAGGAGCAGGCGTCTGTCCTGAGAGCTGGAGGGTCTGCAGGGAGTGGAGGGGGACGAGGAGGGGGGTGCATCCAAGGCCTCACCTCTCCCTCCATAAACCTGAACCCCGCCCCCCCTCAGCCCCAGCTAGGGTCAGGGTCCCAGGCCTACCTCCCAAGGCTCTAGGCAAGAAAGGCTCACCCAGGGGTGGGATCCCAGTCCCTGCCCCCAAAGGCATCCCCTTCTGGGTTCAGAGCAGGAGAGGCTGCCCTGGGCAGGCTGGCCCCTCCCTGACACCTCGCCCCATGCTGAGGTGTTATAAATAGGAGGCTGCCCAGCCAGTGTTGGGCCACATCCCGCTTTGTCACCTACTGGAACTGCCACCATCTGGCCACCTACCACAGGAGAATGGAAGCACCTGCACAGGTACCAAGGGGCACTTGATATGGGCACCCCTTCCCATGTGGGACAATTGGGCAGTCATTTCTTGGGGTATCCCTAGCCTGAAGTTGGGGGGTTGTGTCCCACATGTCATCTCGAGCACACACACACAGGGCGAAGGCCGGAGGGTCCTGAGCCTCCCTCATGCAGCCCCCACCGACTGAGGGTTTGGTGTATGTGTGCGTGCACTCCATGCTCCCTGCTCCTGCTGTCTGAGGTGTTTCAAGCCTCGAGTGCCCACATTCTCTCTAGTGTGCCTGGGGACACTGTCCCAGGTGTCTGGACCCCACCCTCATTACAAGAAGCCCTGGAGGCTCTGAGTGGTCCTGGAGACCCCAGCCTCCAGGGCTCCCCTCTGGCCTGGCAGCCCTCAGGAGTGGGAGGGGCTGGTCTGGGCTCCGTGTCTAGGGGAAGAGGAATGTGGTTACTGGAGTTAGAAGCCTCCTTCCAGAGCCTCCTTTGCCTTACCTGAACACAGCCAAGGGTCCTGCCTTACCTGTGAGGGCTCAGCGTAACCATAGGGCATGCTTGTGGGCAGAGCTCTGTGCTGTGTGGAACCTACCATCAGCACTCTGTGCTGGCATGTGCTCCTGGCCACCCCTCACCTCGTACTTGGGGCCCCACGGAACTGGCTGGCTTGCTGTGACACGCATGTTTCCAAGACACATGGGAGCAGCTTGCTCAGGCACACCTGGCTGACACGTGTGCTGCCCCTGGCAGCAGATGCTGCCCCCCCCAGCCCCCTCCCCAGGTGCCCCCACCCAGGTTGGGGGAGGAGCCGGAGCCCAGGAAGCTGCTCACGGTTGCAAGGAGGCCAAATGATTCAGACCAAGATGGGGACAGCATGGAAAGTCCGCAGGAAGCCCATGTAGTGACTCAATGCATGTCCAGGGCCAGTGGGCCTGGCCTGATCAGGGCCCCACGTCCCTGTGCACTACACAGGCTGGGAGTTTGGGATGCTGCAACCTCCAGGGCAGGACTAGGGACCAGGGATGCTGTGGCTCCACTTCCTGGGGCCCTCAGATCCCCACCACCTGCTGGCCCACTGGCCCCCTGCCCACTTTTCCTGAAGCCCAAGGTCTACAGCCGGGGCTTCCCTGGGGACTCAGCTCGTGGACGATGCCCCACACAGGGCCCACAACACTAAACACTCAGGCCTGACCCTTGGCCCAGACATGGCCAGACAAGCCTGGCTCTGTCAGACCCAGTCAAACGTGGCCACATTGGCTGCTGGGGGTGGTGGAAGCCATCGAGGCCCAGAGTCAAATCTTCACAGATCCTCCCAGCACTGGGCTCTGGGTCTGCAGACATGGCACAGTCCCTACCCTGAGCAGGTCACCTGGTCTGCTCCTCCCCAGAGGTCCCTGCCCCATTTGGAGACAGCAGCAGAGACCCACCCAGCCTCAAGACTGCAAACAAGGCTAGGCAGAGCTGGCACGCCTGTTCCCTGCTGTCCCTGCCCACACCGCCCATGCTGGGCTCCGCCGTGATAAGACATGCCTGAGGAGGCTGCTTTGTGCCCTGCCAGGCGTCACAGGGATAGATGCATGGTCAGTCCCAAGTGTGGACAAGCCTCTGATGGGGCCTCTCTTGACTGTCAGCCGGCTGGGCTGTGCCATTGGTGGCCAAGAGACAAAACTGTCTCTGGGAGTTCCCAGGGACAGAGAATGGAAGTCTGACTGGCCCAGGGTGCAGAGACCTAGGTGGGGGTCAGGCTGGGTGGAGGGCTGGGGCCCTGCTGAAATTCGTTTCTTGGACGCAGCCTGGAGCAATGGCACAAGCAGCTGGTGCAGGGCCCGGGACCAGGACGTCCCCCGAGGTCCAGCCGCCACTGTCCAAGGAGGGGCGCGGGGAGAGGCTGGTGGAGCTTCACACGTCGTTCAGGGAGCTGTTCACCTTCTTCTGCACCAACGCAACCATGCACGGTGCCATTCGCCTGGTCTGCTCCGGCCAGAACCGCTTCAAGACAGCGTGCTGGGGGCTGCTGTTCCTGGGCGCACTGGGCACACTCTACTGGCAGTTCGGGTTCCTCTTTGAGCAATACTGGCGCTACCCAGTCATCATGACTGTGTCTATGCACTCAGAGCGAAAGCTCTTCCCTTCGGTCACTCTGTGTGACATGAACCCACACCGGTGAGGGCTGAGGGCTAGGCTGGGAGTTGGGGGGCTGGGATAAGTGCTGGGGGGCCAGGATGAGAGCTAAGGTGCCAAGATGGGAGCTGGGGATGAGGACTGGGGGCTGGGATGGGGGTTCCTGATGCAGCTCCGCAGCCTGTGACGTTCCTCCAGGCGTGGTCACAGTGGAAGCCCCACTGGCTCAGGAAGCTTGGGTCATTCATTGATGATGCCACCTCACCCCGCCTCTGTGCCCAGTCAGGGCCTCTGGGACCTCTGCCCCCTGGGAGGGTGTAGTTGTTAAAAGACAAGGAAGAGCCACTTGAAGCTTGGTGTGGTTAGTGCCACCCTGGAGGGGCACCCAGGGGTTGGGCAGCAGTGTGCAGTGTGAGGAGAGCTGGGAGCAGGCTTTCCAAAAGGGCAGCCTGGAGCTGGGCTTCAATCGTGGGGTCCCTCCAGGAGAAGGGAGCAGGACAGCTTTCCCGGTGGGGAGGCAGCAGGAGAAAAGACAGGGAGAGGCTATGAGCTGCCAGGAGGAATGGAGGGTCCAAAGGCCTGCCAGGTCTGGCTGGGGCGCCTGACTTCACTCTGCAGCCCAGCTCCTAATTCAGAACCTCTTTCTGGGCGCCCCAACGAGGGGGAGGAGCTGCTGTCCACTGACCTTTGGGGTCAGTGTTGTGGGGGCAGAGAGACTTACCCAGCAATGCCCCCAGTGACTGATGCGGGTAATCTTGGGGGTGTGACTGACTCAACTTGGCCCCTCCCTCGCCCCGCCCCACAGGCCCAGCCTAGCCCGCAGCCAGCTGCGGGCACTGGATGCGTTTGCCCAGGAGAATATCTATGCTCTCTACAAGTTCAACTTCAGCGCAAGTGGGGATGCCCCCTTTGCGGAGGACCCTGGCCGAGAGCCTACCTTCCAGCTGGACCGTGCTGTGGACCGTGCTATCCGCCTGCAGAGATTGAGCAGCCCAGGCGGCCAGAACAAAGTGGGCTTCAGACTGGTGAGTGTCCGCCTGTGCTGTTGGCCTGCAGGGCGCTGAGATGGGTGTGGGCAGGGCAGGCATGGGGTCTGTGCTGAACTGACACCCCACCCCCAGTGCAACAGTACTGGGGGCGACTGCTTTTACCGAGCCTACTCATCAGGCGTGACGGCCGTGCGAGAGTGGTACCGCTTCCACTACATCAGCATCCTGGCTCTGCTGCCCACCGACCATGAGGACAGCCACCGAAGCCATGGCGGCCACTTTGTCTTCTCCTGCCACTATAATGGCCAGGACTGCCAGGCCCAGTGAGTGCGGTCAAGCTGTGGCCACTCCCCCTCCACCCCACCCAGCAGGCGTGGGTGCCACCCCCGGGGTATGGCCAGTCCCAAACAGCTCTCTCCAGACCAGAGATAAGGCAGGCCGTGGGCCCTCAGGCCACACCCGGTGGGTGACAGGTCCAGGGGGTGTGCTGGTCTGAGCGTGACCCTTCGTTCCAGACACTTCCAGACATTCCACCACCCCACCTACGGCAGCTGCTACACCTTCGATAGGGACTGGGCCGCACAGCGCCCAGGCATTACCCACGGTGAGTGCCAGCCTGGGTCTGGGTGTGGGCAGAGGGCTCCTGCCAGCCTGGCTTCACCCCCAACCCCCCGGCCTCCCCCAGGGATTAGCCTGGTCCTCAGGGCTGAGCAGCAGGACCAGCTGCCGCTGCTGTCCACGGAGGCCGGCATCAAGGTCATGGTTCACCAGCGCAACCACACCCCCTTCCTGGAGCACCGCGGCTTCAGCGTCCGGCCAGGGACTGAGACCACCATCGGCATCCGAGAGGTGCGATGGCCCCTGGGAGTGGACAGAGGCGGGGCCCCAAACCGACCTCCCAGACTAGCCTTGGGGCCTGAGGGCCAGGGCGGTTCGCAGGCGAAACTGAAGCAGCCCCCTCCCCACAGGACGAAGTGCACCGGCTCGGGAGTCCCTACAGCCATTGCACCGACGGCGCGGAGGGCCTGGACGTGCCGCTGCTGTACAACACCTCGTACACCATGCAGGTACGTCTGGGCCGGGGGCGGGCCGTGGGGGGAGGACCCGGGAGAAGTGAGGCTGGGAGGGGGGTCAGAGGAGGTCAGGGGGGTGATGCGGAGGACCGGGGAGGGCAGTCGGGGTGAGAGGAAGGTGGACTGTCCGGCCGGCAGGCAGGCCTCGGGGAGGGGATGGTTGTTCCCGTGAGCCGTGAGCCTCAGCTCCGGTTCCCGGCTGTCCCCGCAGGCCTGCCTGGTCTCCTGCTTCCAGCAGCTGATGGTGCAGACCTGTTCCTGCGGCTACTACTTCTACCCCCTGCCGGCGGGGGCTGAGTACTGCAGCTCTGCCAGGCACCCGGCCTGGGGTGAGGCCCGCCCCGCCCCGCCCTCCGCCCCACACCCCTGCGCTGGGCCGCTGGGGGCAGAGTCACCCACAGGCTCTGTCAGAACCCAAACCTCCCGCCACCCCTGGGCCTCTCCTAACTGGTTCACCTATGACCCCCACTTCCCCAGGCCACTGTTTCTACCGCCTCTACAGAGACCTAGAGACTCACCAGCTTCCCTGTGCATCCCGCTGCCCTAGGCCCTGCAGGTGAGTGGGAAGTGTGGGTCAGGGGTCACTGCCCTAGGCACCACAGGAGGGGTGTGACAGGGTACTCTGTCTCCCAGGGAGTCTTCATACAAACTCTCTGCTGGGACCTCCAAGTGGCCTTCCTCCAAGTCAGCGGTGAGTCCCCTGAAAGGGTGGGGTGAGGGGCAGACCAGCACATGAGCCTCCTGGGTCCCACCGAGCCCACCCTAGACCAGCCTCTGCCCCTGTGGTCCCTGCCTTTCCACCCGCCCCGCAGCACCTGGAGGGCTGGGAGGAGCCGCAGCCACAGTGACCCTCTGTGTGCAGGACTGGATGCTGGCCGTGCTGGGCCACTGGAGCCCCAGCGGGAGCACAAGCCCCAGGTGGGTGGGCTCCTCCTCCTCCAGACGTCCTGCCCAGGCCCCTTCTCCTGCCAACCTCACCCTTCAGTGCTCCCAAGGAGGGGCCCCAGCATGCAGGTCCAGGGCTCAGCCCCCCACGTCTGTGCTGCACTCCAGGAGCAATGTGGCCAAGGTCAACATCTTCTACCAGGAGCTCAACTACCGCACGGTGGATGAGACGCCTGTTTACTCGGTGAGCCGGCCAGGGACCACAGGCTGGCGTGGGGGCAGCAGCTAGCCCGACACACTGGGGTGCTGCCCCAGCCCGAGGCCCTGTGCGTGTGCTCACTGCCCACTGGTGCCAACAGGTGCCGCAGCTGCTTTCTGCCATGGGCAGCCTCTGGAGCCTGTGGTTCGGCTCATCCGTTCTGTCTGTCCTGGAGCTGCTGGAGCTGCTGCTTGACGCCATAGCCCTCACCGTGCTGCTCGGCTGCCGCCGGCTCCGCCATGCTCAGGGGTCCCAGCCAGAGCAGTAACAGGCGTCCCACAAAGTCAGAGGCCAACCAGTTGCCCAGTGACTGCAGGCATGATGTCAAATGCCCCAGAGCCTAGCTGGCGATGCTTCAAGGGCTCTGGCAGGAGTCTCAGCTGAAGAGTGAAGCCAAGAGTGTCCCCCAACACTCCTGACACCTGAACCAACGTGAACTTAGTCTGATCCTGGGAGCTGTAGCAGCAGCGGGCTCTCCTGGCTGCCCAGCCGGCCAAGCCAAACCCAGGGCCCAGGAAGCAGCAGCGCTGGCAGCCAAAGGGCTGGCAGGCAGGCACTAGGGTGCCCAGCAATCAGGGCCTCTCATCAGCCCAGCCACCCTGCCCAATGGTGGCCTCACAGTTCTCAAGGAGGCCAGGGCAGGAAGGAGTGTTTCCACCACTGGACTCTCATGTCCCGGGCATGACTGAGCATCTGTGCATGTGAGTGTGCATAGGATGAGTATGCACATGCATGTGTGCATGCACGAGTGTTTGTGCATGTATGTGTTCACAGGAGTACATGTGCACACATGAATGTTTATGTGTGTGCATAGTAGTGAGTATGCACATGCATGTGTGCATGCACAAGCATCTGTGTGTGTACATGGGAGTATCTGTGCACATGCGAGTGTCTGCATGCGTATGTGTGTGCGCATGGGAGTGAATGTGCACATGCATGCGTGTATGCATGTCTGTGTGCAGGTGCATGCATGTGTCTGTGCATACATGTGTGTGCATTTGCGTGAATGCATGCATGGGGGTGCCTCCACACAGGAGGTGTCTGTGTTTGGTATCAGTGTCACGTGTCTGACTGTCAACACGTCTGTTTACAACTGTGTGTAGGTGTATGCAGGCATCAGGCAGAGCCTCCCTCAGCTCAGGGCAGGTGGGACGAAGTGCAGGACCAGGCCAAAGCATTCAGTAACCTTTGTAATAAAACCTGCCACTCCACCTGGTGGCTAGAACGTGTGCGTGCCTCCCAATCACCCTTCCCCAAGTGAACTGAAAACCTCAGGCTGCACCTCCACACCCCTTGGAGCCACAGGCACTTCTGGGGCTAGGGGGCAGGAAGACACTGGGCACAGGGCCACTTTGCAGGGCTAGGGCTTCCCCGGGGGCCTGGCCAGGCCCAGAAAATCCTTGCCAGTTGGCATCCACCCTACTCCTACCAGGAGTCACAGTCCAGGCCAGAGAAAGGCAGGGGGGCCTGGGAAATGCGGGCTGGGGGTGTCAGGAGTCAGTTTTAATCAAAGAAGCCTCAGGCCCCTGGGTTCTGGCTTATTGCATCCCTTTGGGGCACCGGTGCTAACCCACTCAAGGCCACCCTTCAGGGAAGACAAGGAACCCAGAGACACCCCTTCCCCAGCTGAGACAGAGGAGTGAGGTGGGTGAGCCAGCCAATGACACGCAGCAGGTGCAAGCGGCAGTTTATTACTGTGATCTGGAGCAGGGGCGGGTCCCGCCAGCCTGAGGCCCAGGCCAGAGGCCCTGACAGGCAGGGGGTTGGGATGTGGGGGCGGAGCTCAAGCAGGGAGAGGGAGAAGAGTTAATTCTGTTCTTTAGGGGTTGCAGCCAGCAAGTGAGGGACTTGGAGGGCCCAGTCAGTGCCCACCTTGCTGCCCATGGAGCCTTCCTGGGCAGTCTTTGCATAGTGACCAGTTGACTGGCCTTGGCCTGACCAAGGACCCAAGTTGGGGAGAGGCCCAGCCACTGCCCCAGGGCTCCAGGAAAGGGGAATGCAGAAGGCATTGTGGGCCCTGGGGTGAACTGAGGCATCCCTGGACCCATCCGAGGGCCCAGCCAATGGGGCGAGCTGGCGAGGGTGGCAGAGCCGCAGAGGCCTCCCCCGAGCAGCAGACAGAGCCCAGGTCAAGGTGGTCCTCCAGAGTCCACGGAGGAAAGGGGCAAGACAACGTGAAAATAGGCGGTTACAGAAAACCCACTCAGTCCATGACAGAACGTTAGACGCAGGGGTGCAAAGTGCCAAAGTCCTTGATGAACGAGCTCTGGGCCAAGTACCTCTGCAGGAGGCGGGGGACGGGCCCAGGGCCGCCCGGAACGGGGGCCTTGTGTGGCCAGCCACAAGGCCTTGGGACGCCTGCGTCCAGCCAAGGCTGAGGCCCCAAGTCAGAGCCCCCCCAGCACCCGAAAAGCCCAGCCTGGACGCTGGGGTCACTAAGTGAGGTACACGGGTTGATTCCCTGGATGGGCTGCCCCTTCTGCCCTCGTAAGGGGCTGGTGGCCAGCCACCAGCCAGTGGAAGGGCTATGGGGGTGTGTATGGGGGGACCCAACTAGCAGGTCAGTGTCTGGGGCAATAAAGGTGGGGGCACAAAGTGACATGGGCCCCGGGGACGGGCACAAGGTGACACAGGCCCCTGGGGCTGAGGGGCAGGTGACATGGACCCCAGGGAGAGGGGCACGAAGTGACATGGGCCCCTGGGGCGGAGGGGCACAAGGTGACACAGGCCCTGGGGACGGGCACACAAGATGACATGGAGCCTTTAGAACGGTTTGTGACATGAGCAACCCAGGCACCCGAGGAAGGAGTCACCTGAAGACATAGTAGGGTCCCGCATGGGGTCAGGGGTACGAGACCATGCAGCACCTCCGGGAAGGGGGAAACGTGGGCTTCAGAAGATTCAGTGCCGGCGACCCGCCCCAGGCCCTGGGGGTTGGGGCACCTCTCAGGAGGCCAGAGCAGGTTGCTGGGGTTCCAGGAGCGCCTGGGTACCGTTTCTCGGGAAATGGGCCAGGCAGCCGGGCAAGGTGGTGGGGGCACGGGCAGGGGTCCCGCCGCTTCCCGGCCCGCCCCACCCTAGCTCTCCTCCAGGTGGAGGCTGATGAACTCCTGGATGCACCTGCGGTACTGGAGCTCTGTGGGGCTGCTGCCCGCCAGGGGGCCCGGCTGGCCCGGGGGCGCCTCTGCCTCACGCATCTCTTCCGCCATGCGCGCCAGACGCAGCCTGGGGGAAACGCGGAGTGAGGGCGCCGCCCGGCCCCACGGCGCCCCGCCCCCACGGCGCCCCGCCCCCACGGCGCCCTAGCTCACAGCGTGACAATGTCGGCGTTCGCCTCCTGGATTGCAATGCTCAGTGGATCCTGATGCTCGTTGTCCAAAGCGTGCTGGTCGGCACCCCGCTTCAAGAACAGGCAGACCTGCCTGAGGGACGGAGGGAACGAGTCGGGGCGGGCCCTGGCGACCTGGGCCCCACGGGCAGGAGGGGCACCTGCGACTCACCCCGTGCGGCCCAGGAGCGTGGCGTGGTGCAGGGGCGAGCGACCCCGGCTGTCTCTTTGGTTCACGTCCGCTCCGTTTTGCAGGAGGAATTCACAGAGGATCAAGGAGCCCTGGGAAGTCAGGGCAGTTCAGACTGAGCGGAGGAAGGCCTCTGGGAGAGCCCCCACCCCCAGCCGGGACAGAGCCAATCTCCAAGGGAGGACTAGGGGCCCTTCCTACACGCCACAAGAGTGGGTTGATGCCAGTGTCAGCGTGCACCTGTGTCCTGCGCGCAGCCCCAGCCCCACTCACCCCTAGCACCGCCTGCACCAACGGCGTCTTGCCCTCGTCCTCCGCGTCCGCCCAGTTGACCTCGGCCCCGTGGGCCAGCGCCGCGGCCAGCGCGGGGAGGTCACGGGTGCGCGCAGCACGGTGCGCCAGTAGCCCTGGGTGCAGCTCACGTACGTCCGCCAGACCCCAGGCCTCTGCCTCTCTGTCCGCCTCACCGCTGGACTCCTCCGACTCTGCGCCCTCTGGGAGGAGGGGGGGGCGGTCAGGAGCGGAGACCTAGCCCGAAGTAGGAGGAGGGGAGGGCTAGGGAGGGGCTTCGGCAGAGGTGGGGAGGCGCGCACCCACCCTCCTCAGTGACACTGTCCACCACGGAGCCCGCGCCGAAGGCCAGGATGTCCGAGCTGCCGTCGGAGCTGCCCCCTAAGCCACTGTCGCTGCTCAGACCTGCGGGGTCCGTGGGCAGAGGGGGTCCTGAGTGTGCCTGACTCCTCCCAGAGCTCTGGGGGAAGCGGGAGCCCCACCCACTCTTCAGGGGATGTCCCCAGGGGCAGGACTAGCCCCCCACTAGGAGGCAGAGGTGAGCTCTGCCCAGGATGGGAGGAAGGGGAATAAAAAAAGTAACAGCTCCAAGGAGCCAAAGGCAGCCCCCACGTGGTCGCCCACCCTCTAGCAGGTCAGCCCTAGCAGGACGGGTGGGCATGTGCAGGCTGTGGACATGCAGCCCTGTCTGTGACCAATGCACCCTGGGAAGTCATTGTCCAGTGATGGGATCTTGGCCAAGCCCTGGAGAAGCGGCCCTAGGAGCTCTCCCAAGGGCAGCTCTGGCAGAACAGCCCCAGATGGTGCGGCAGCGCCCTCTGCCGCCCACGGTCACCCTTGTCACCCCCATCAGCACGGCCAATTCTTGGCCCTGACCATGCCTTCTGCCCAGACTGCCTAGGAAGGCTCTGCACATGCGCCAGGCCAGGGGGTGATGATAAACCATTAGCAGGCAGCCCTGAGAGAAGAGTCCCGACTTATAGCATTTGCACTCTAACTCCAAGAAGAGTGGGAAAGGGGTGCACCGCTGTCTCTCCGAGTTGGCGCCAGCACTCAGCTGTCCAGGCCATCAGCACACACATGCACACGCAGACACCCGTAACACACATGCACCATGTGCACAGTCTCTCACACACACACACATGCACACGCAGACACCCGTAACACACATGCACCATGTGCACAGTCTCTCACACACACACACATGCACACGCAGACACCCGTAACACACATGCACCATGTGCACACAGCACAGTCACTTAAGGGTCATGGCCTCCGCCTTCAAGTCAGTGGCCAAGTTACCCCCAGCCCCTGGAGATTTACCCCATCCTTAGCCCTTCTTGATCCCCAATTCTCCCCACTACCAGACTACTGTCCCGTGACACCACCTCCCCAGCCCAGTCCCTCCTGCAAGGAACACCTGTCCCACCAGTCTCTGAGCAAGTGGCCATGGCAGTCCACACTCGTCCACCCTCCAGGTGAACCATTTCTGGCTCAGCTCCACTGCCCGGGGTGGGCAGCAGGGAGCTGGGGCCCTCACAGCACTTACTGCGTGGACCCGCCGCAGCAGCCCCTGCGTCAAAATAGGAGAAGAGGGAGTCCAGCTCGTCGGGGCAGAAGAGGGAATCCCTGCGGAACCTACGCTCCACTGCGCCTGCGCGAGGCAGGGAGCCGGTCACAGGGAGCGCCCCTGAGCCCTGCCTCCTGCCCCGCCCAGACCTCCCTGGAGTCTGGGGCTTTGTGGCTTGTCCCTGCTGGAGCCTTCTCCCCACACCTGCCCAGGTCTGTGACCTGAAGTGCAGCCTGCAGGCAGCCCGCCCACCTGAGCACAGAGCAGCCACAGAGGGCAGGACAGGCTCCATCCGGACCTTGCGGCGGGCGTTAGGGGCGCGGGGGGAGCTGTGGTGGCGCTGGCACTTTTGCGCCCGCCAGCGCCGCGGGGCCTCCCGGGCCGGTGCAGAGGGAGACTTCTGCAGGAACTTCTTTTCCACGTACTTGTCCTTGATCCAGGCCTCCTTGTCCTGCCTGGACCAGGGGTGGACATGAGGCTGCATTCACTGGCTGGGGCTCCCCGGCCCTGTCCATGCTGCCCCCACCTCACCTGGGGCTGCTGGCCGAGGGCTTCTTGCAGCTTGGCCCCTCACACTGGGCCTCATAAATCTGGTTCACGGTGCTGTTCCCAAGCTCACACATCAGCTAGCACGACAAACGGTGTGCGGTCTCAGCCCCAGCTCTGACACCCACAGCATGCACACCCACTCCTGCTGCCAACCTACCCCCACTCACCACCACCACCGGTGGTGGTTGCAATGGCCACACACACACCTTCAGCAGCTCTGGCTCCCATGAGTCCAAAGTCAGGGACCGCACCTTGGAGCAGTGGACACCCAGGCTCCTGGACAATGGGGAGGCAGGAGTGAGTCTGGGCATGGCTCGGCCCCAGCACCCCAGTCTGGCCTACCCAATGGGCCCACCTGTGGATGCCCGAGCACTCGATGCAGAGCAGCACGCCCAGGTTGATGCTGGCCCAGCGGGGGTCCGGCTGGCCACAGTCGCCACATTGGCCATTGCCAGCCACACTCTGCATGCGCTGCAGCACACTCTCGCCCTTGGCACCACGCTCCCGGGAGTCCGTGGTGGAGTCAATGCTGCTGGTGGACGGGGACGCTGTGCGGTCCAGCCTCTGGGGACGGTGTGAGGAGCCACTCAACACTACAGGAGCTCCAGCCTCAGTTTCCTCAGCAGGCCTCCTCTTCCTCCCCAACCAGAGTTGTTAGCACAGGCTGGGGCCCCAGAAGCAAAGCCCACACACGCATGTGTGCACACACACACATGTACACACACACACACACACACACACTGCACACACAAACTGCCACGCACAATGTACACGCATACACGCTCGCACACAATGTACACACACACTTGCATGCACACACAATGCACATGCACGCTCAAATGCAAACACAATGCCCGTGCATGCCTGCTTACACACACACAATGTACACACGCTCACATGCACACACATGCATGCTCACACGCATGCATACAATGCGCACACATGTTCACATGCAGCCTGCAGGGGCCCTGTGAACATATGTGGCAGGTGCTGGAGGGCCACACCTCGCTGTAGCAGCTGTCCGGGCTCTCCCGGTAGGCAGAGGCGATGCTGGCTTGCACAGCTTGAACCCAGGCCTGCCGCAGCTTCTCTGAGTCAGCCTGCAGCATGCAGCTCCTGGAGGGAGGGGACCATCAGGCTAGGCAGGCAGGGGGTCCCTCCTCAATCCCACCTGGGCTGGGCCTCCTCACTTGGTGGGTGACACGACCTCAAAGCAGAACCTCCGCTCAGTGTCTTCACATGGCTTCACGGAGCACAGGCGGAGGTCATCCACCACCACGGTCAGCACATCCTGGAGGCAGCACACTGTGGCCCTCGCACTCAGCACCCAGCCCCGACCACCCACGTATTGCTCCACCTCAGAAACTCAAACTGGCTGAGACCCAAGTGCTCGCTGTCCCTGACCACTCAGGCTGTGGTGCCCAACAGTGTCCTTAGCCCTGTGCAAATCCCACCCAGGGCCCAGGTGGGGGGGGCCCCATAGGAGGGGCCCTGAGCGCACCTTCAGCTTCTTCTGGTAGACCAGCTGGCTATTCTGGATGGAGAACCAGCGCCTGGGCAGGTGGATGGGCCAGGAGGTCAGGCAGAGCCGGCCCCCCCATCTGCCCCACTGTCCCTCAGGGGGAAAGCCCTCCCTCACCGGTTCCATGTCTTGAAGGCGTTGCTGGCCCTCTTGAAAAGGTAGCCCTCCATCACCACACCGCTGGGCGCGTCCACGTCAAACTCTGCTTTGGGCTCATCATAGGAGAAGTCCTGGGGGTGGTCAGAGCCAGGCTCCAGTGAGTGTCCACCCTGGCTGTGAGGACACTGCGCCCTCCCAGGCTACCCCAGAGCCAAGGTGGGATGGGCACTGCTCTTCACAGCCACTTCCTGACCTGAGCAAGGCCCCGGCCCCCCGAAGCCCCCTGGGGGGCAAATGACTCACATCACTGCTGGGGCTCTAGAGCCCCAGCCCCCACCCCAGCCTTGTAGGCACAGCAGGCTCTGGGATCAGGAAGGAAGCTGCCTCCCCCATCCTGAGTCCCCCATTCATGTCGCCAGCTGGGCCTGCTCTGCGGGCCTGACAGAGCTCCATTCACGCGGGCTGGGGAGACACTGAGTGTTGTCCTGTGTGTCCGGCGGTGGGAGAGGAGGCCCAGCCACCTGCTCCCATGGCTGAGGGGGCAGGAAGGGACAGCTGCTGCTTCTCCCACGGGGGATGCGTCCTGGCTCAGCCTGTGTTCTTGCTGGTGCCAGCCACCGCTTACAGCGAAGTGCCCACAGGTGCCTGGGGAGCTCTGAGGCCGTTGGGAGGTGTCCTTGGTGCTGAAGTGCCGCAGGGCGGGGAGAGGGCAGAGGCCCCGCCTGCCTGACCCTCCCCTTCCCTCCTCCCGCCCCCCCAGGGTGGACGCCCACTCACCTGCAGCAGCGTCTGCAGGGTGGGCGGAGCAGAAGAGGGTGGGAAGAGGGAGAGAGCGCCATGAGTGACAGCTCCGCCTCCTTCCGCCCCCCTCTCCCCCAGGCTCTCAGTGGTGATGAAATAGCTCCCTGAAATAGCAGCCCATCCCTGCCCTGGGCAGAGTGGGGGCAACTGCCTGGCAGGTGAGCAGAAAGACCCCAGTAGGAGCCCGCGACTGAGGCCCCAGAGGCTACCAGTGGCCTTGAAGGAAGGGGATCCCGGGTCCCAGCTCCAGCCCCAGCATCTGTGCGCTGAAGGGGCTAGCCCTGGCCTCTACAGACAGGAGGGCCGCCCCTCCTGCTCCATGTGTTGAGGCCCCTAAGGATAGGGACCCCTGCAGAGTAGGCAGGGCTGGGGGAAGGGACAGAGCATGTGTACGTGTAGGTGGGCCTCCCAGGTCAGTGGCATGAGAGTGATGGGGGTGGTAGCCTCTTGGGGTTTCCCCCATGCAGGGAGGTTGGAGCTGCAGGGCCTCACCCGCTGCTGGATGGCAGCATGTCTGTGCTCCATCTCCCGCTTCTCCACTGCTGAGTCGATCACCAGCTGGTCCAGCTGTGGGGAGCATCAGGGAGGTAAAGGGACCCCCGAGACCCTGGCCCGCGTCCCACCCCTCCTGGAAGGCTCACCTCCGCCGCCAGCTTCTTCATATAGGGGTCCAGCTGGTGCAGCAGGCTGTAGCCTTGCTGGAAGAAGCTGTACTGGGCGTGCATGAAGGACAGCATCTGCAGGTGGGCACAGGTGAGGCCAGGGGCCTAAACCTGTACCCCAGGCCCAGCACACCTGCTGCACACACCTGTGTTCAAGGGCAGCCCCGCCCGCCCTCACCAGGCACTCACAGAATCCAAGATCTCAAACTTCTTCTTGGCCTGGAGGACGTTGATCTGCCAGGGAAGGGGTGAGCAGGTGGAGGGTGTCAGAGCCCAGGGAGCCTGTGGTACCTTGCTGCAGAGTGCACTCGCGCTGCTTGGGGTTTCCTGAGACCCCCGGCTTATCTTCAGCTCCCTGCACTTGTGCCAGCCCCCTCCTCCCACAGTCCTGGACGTTGGGTCCCTCCCATAGGCAAAGCCGGGAATTCTCACCCCTGCTCCAATCCCTCTTAAGTCCTCCCTCAGCAAGGTCTTCCAGGCCTCCGTCCCTGCAGCCTGCAGCCCCAGGCTGGTCCCACCCCCACCTCTGGGCCTTTGCCTGCCCCCACCACGTCTCTCCTCAAGATCTGACATGACAGGTTTTCTGGAGCCACAGGCGCCCCTAAGGACGCCAGCCATCTGTCAGCAGAAACACCTCCTGCCCACTCCAAGACCCGCTCACTCAGTGCCCAGTGGCCAACCTGGAGCACGTAGTCCAGCGCCAGGTGGCGAAAGCACTTGCGGGTCAGAGTCAGGGCACCTGTGGCCTCCTCCACCTCGTGAGGCCGGTGCCGCGGGGCCTGGGCGTTCCTCACCAGGGCCAGCTCCAAGTCCTCCCGCACTTTGTCAAACTGCTTCTTGGTCTCCTTGAACTTCCGCACGTCCCTGGGGGTGGCCGGTGTCAGGTCAGGGGGTCCAGGCAGGGTGAACATGGGAGTCTCCCTCCCGCCCCCTACTCTCGCCTGCCTGGGCGGGGCCTCCCTCCCTGGCCTACCTGCCTGCACCATCATTCTGGCTCTCCCCTCCCCATCCAGACCCCCCCGGCACATCCCTGCCCTTCACCACCTCACTCCCAGGATTGGTCCAGTCTGGGGTGATGCCCAGCTTCATCCCAGACTTCAGACTAATGTACCCAACTTCACCGCATCATCTCCACTCAGAGGTTCCCCTAGGCACCCCAAGTGCACACACAGGCACCAAGCTGAGACCCCCACCCAGCCCTCACCTCCTCCCACCACTACCCTGACTCCTCCCAGGGCCTCCCCCTGACCCCTCACCTGAGGCCATCTCGGCTGCCTTCGGTGTTCCCTGACCCCGCAACCTACCCCAGCCCTGTCCCACCTCCAAGCCTTTGCCCTTGCTGAGCTGGGTGTCTCAGGAACCACAAGCAGAGCCTTAAGACCGTGGGCCAAGGTCCTCCTGAGCAGGCCCTAGAACCACCCCCAAGTCTAGCATAGCTATCTCTGCTCCCCACTCCAGCATTACGTGTCACCATTAACCCCTCCCAGGCTGGAAAAGGCCAGACCTCCAGGCGTCTGAGGGCATCGGGGCCACTCACTCTTTGACAAAGTTGTGGAGCTGCTGGCGCACGGACCTCTGGGCCTGGTCAAACAGGATCTGGGGAACGAGGGAGAATGGGGGGCGCTATGGGTCTGTCCCCACATGACCCCAGAGGCCAGGCCCCTGTCCCCCCAGCAGGTGAGAACCTGGAAAAGTCCCTCCTCCAGCCCTGCCTGGGCCCCAGTTGGTCATCCCCACAGAGCCGCCTCCCAGGGTCCAGGAGAGTGGGTGTGGCCCCCAGGCCTGGGTTGGCGCCCAGAGGCGACAGCTGTGACCACCTGCCCATCTCTCCTCTTGGCTCTCCGACAGACTAGAGGCCAAAGCTGTCCCAGATGGCCCCTCCTACAGCCCCACTCCACACTGGCCCAGACAGGACAGGCACACACAGGGCACCTGGTGACACCCAGTGCCTCCTGGCCCTGGGAGGCCACCTTGAGGATGACCAGCCCTGCAGGAGGGAGGGTCAGACCCGAGCTGCAGCTCCCAGGGGACCTGTCCGGGGGGTGGGGTTGGGGTGGTTGTCGGGAGCTGAAGGGCTCCCCACAGCACTGGCTGGACCCAGAATCAGACCCCCACATGGGGGGAGGGCTGAACCTTATCTGCACGCAGACAGGGCAGGATGCGCCGTTCTGAGCTGGTTTATTTCTGAACTTCCCCTGTAGGGGGTGGGGCCCCTGTTTAGTCTGGGGCTCTAGTTCCCAGGCCACGGTCTCACCACCCACGTGCGCCTTGGGCCCTGCTCCATGTGACATAGACCCATCCCGGGTAGCAGCGAGGTCAGGGGTCACCCAGGAGCCAGGGGTCAACTTAGGAGATGCTTCTAGAGACTGCTGCCTGGTTGGGGAGCCCTGGAGGACTCTCCAAGGCCTCTCCCACCCTGAGACCCCACTGCCCTCAGCCCTCGGCTCTTACCACCTCCTTGGCCCTCCGCACTGTCAGCCCCTACTGGGGACACAACAGAGCACCTCATGATGTCCCCACACCCCACAGACTGGAGGAGCTGAAACGTGGCCTCCCCCAAAGCCCATCCCCACCAGCCAGCTCAGCTTCCTCAGCGCCAGCCCAGCGAGCAGTCCAGGCTGGGTAGGGCCTGCAGGAAGCCAGCGGGGGCAGCCCTAGGATGGGGTCCCGGGATGCAGAAGCAGAGGGCGGGCCCTCACCCCCCGCCCCCACTGGCCAGGGCTCACCATGTGGTAGTTGACCATCTCCTGCAGGCTGTCTCCAAACCTCTGCAGACATTCCTGGGGGAGCAGGGTGGAAAGGACCCCTCACTCAGATGGCACAGCCATGCCCCCAGTGGCCAGCACCTCCCGGGCCCCAGGCCCCAGAGCCGCCCCTGCTCCCAGGGCCTAGGCACCCGTGCCCACCCCTGACTAGAGGTCAGAGATCAGCTGCCCCCTCACCGAGATGACAGGGTCACCCTGGCATTGCTGAGACAGGTCTCGGACACCGCTTACGAAGAGCCTGTTGGTTGTGACGTAGACCTTGCCAGCCTCGATCATGCCGCTGCACAGCTTGACCAGCTGCGAACAGGACGAAGAGGCAACACTCACACGGCCTGCCTGCGCCAACCCTCACCACCACCAGGAGGCCGGGGTGGCTAGAACGCAGCTCAGGGCCCATCAGTACCCAGGACACAGCTGCCCTGAGCAGCCTGAGGCTGGGAGGGACCGCCCCTGCCCACCTTCCATCCCCAGCCCACTGGGTGCCACCTGGGCCTCAGCTCCGGAGCAGGAGGTGGGAGCAGCACCAGGAAGCCCCGAGCAGAGAACCCAGGGCTGGGTGGGCATGTGGTCCTGGCCAGTGAGGGGGCTCAGGGATGCTGCCCCTCCCCCCCACCCCCACCCTCTGCCTCCATCCCAGTCACTCAGATGCACAGCCCCCCAGCAGCTGTCCCCTGCCCCAAAGACTCAGCTGGAGGGAACTCACCAAGGCCCATCCCCACTTGAGGGGAGACCCGGGGCAGACGCCATGTGCACCCGGGTCAGGCATGGGAGGTACAGCTGGGGAGAGTGGGGGACACAGCCACACCTTGTGCACAACACACAGGTGCTCACATGCACATGCGCACACACAGGTGGCTGGGGCAGGGCAGAGAGCAGCCCAGGAGGCATGCAACCCAGCCCTCACCTTGTCCAGTTTGGCTTCTATCTCCACGACATCTGTCTCTACCTCATCGATGGTCGCCCTGCAACAGGGACGAGGCAGCTGGGGTCAGCCTGCAGCCAGCCCCCAGCCAGGGTCTTCACCTCCCGAAAGGGTCTACAGTGGCTGATGGCCCACCTGCCACCCATTCCTCTCAGAAAGGTCAGGAAATGGAGGCTGGGAGAAGCGGCCAACGCCCTGGGAAGGAGGGAACTGCATAGGGACCCAGGTCTGGCTGACTCTGTAGCCAACCCAGTGCCCACCACAACTCCAGTCAGGAAGAGGCCCAATTGGATGGAATGCCCCATCTGGGGTCTGGCTACTGTGGCCCTGGGTAGGGAAGGTCAGACAAGGCCCTGAGGACAGAGATAGGAGCTGAAGCCCCAGAGCAGGTGCACGCTTATGGGGACAAGCCAGCCACCCTCCTGCCCAGCCCCTGCCTCTCTCCAGGGACCAGAGCTGACCCGACTCCAACTGGACCCCCCCCCACCTCAGCCTGACACCTGCGGCCCCTGGAGCAAACTTGTCTCAGCTGGAGTCCCGAGCACAAGGTGGCTGCTGTCCTGGTCCCCACCCCTCACACACACACCATGAGAGCAGGACTCCCCCAACTTCCAAACACAGAATGGCACAGTCCGCTGGGAGAGAGGGGGTGGGTCAGACTTTGGAGGAGCCCACTGCCCTGGACAGCCTGACAATGGGCTGTGTTGGGGAGGGGAGAGTTAACGCATGACATCACCAGAGAAGGCAGAGGCAGATGGATCAGGCACGTGACCCTCCCTGCTCCGGGAACAGGAAATAGAGAAATTGGGCCAGGACCCGGTGCCCCCCCAACCCACTCAGCTGGTGAACTGCGCCCATCTGGTCTCCTGGGGACAAGAGACAACAGGAATGGAGTTTAGGCCAGGGGCGAGAGGCAGGCGGCCAGGGACAGCTCTTGGGCGGGGTCAGGCTGAGGTAGGCCAGCAAGGGGAGGGGCGTGTTCCCGGGTTTCCCAGGCCTGGGGGGGTGGGACCTAGTTTCTCACGTGGGGTGCAGCTCAGCGTGATCCCTACTAGGAGCTGTGGGGGGGCGCCAGGCTGCCACCTAGCAAGGTGTCCACTGCCACCCTGATAGGACAGGGGCTCCTCTGAGCAGCCCGCATCACTCCCCTAGGGCCTCCAGGGACGTCTGTTTGGACTGGAGGTGCCCTTTCAGCAGCCCACCCCAAACTGCCTGGAGGTGTGGCCTGAGGTATGGCTGACTGCAGGAGGCTGGGACCCCAAGGACCTTGACCACTGCTATAGCCTTTCCCCGTCCCCTCAGAGGGTCTCAGGGCAGGGAAGGACCACCCACCAAGGAGAGGACACTACAGAGAGGGACACAGCCCTGGAACCCCATCTACCCCAAGTGCCCTGGGCAGTTGCATGGAGAGCTGCCACCGGTGGGCCTGGTCTGGTTCCTGGAGAGGATTAAGGGTGGGGCTGCACCAGGAGCCAGGAGCCAGGGTGCCAGCTCCCCCTCCCCAGCCCCCAGGACCCCAGGCCTCCTCTCCTGCCCTCCCTCCGGGATTTCCTCAGCAGTCAGGAGGATGGGGGGGAGGCAAAGGCAAGCTCCCCTCACCCAGAGCCATGACTCAGCGCCTGAGGCCCCACCCAGGGGAGGGGGCACCAAGAACAAGGGGTAGGCGGAGGCCCCAGGCCTGTCTGGAAGAGTCTGGACACCCCCAACCCCCCCCACATGTTCTCCCCAGACCAAGAATGCACAGGCAGGGTCCCCCTTCCCAGGGCTGAGGCCACTTGGCCCCACGTCACTGACCACATCCTCCTGGCCTGCCCCACCCTGACCCGCCCCAGGCCAGCAGCCAGGAGGCCCTGGTTACATCCTCAGCTACACCTGAGAGTGAGTGGACAGGGGGGACCTCAGGGAGGCCTCACCATTAAATCTCAGCCCAACTCCAAAACCCAGAGTACAGCTTCTGTGGCCCAGGCCCGGGTGAATCCACTCAGCCTCTCCGCCTGGCCCGGCTGGGCACTTTCACAGGGCAGCCCCTCCCTGCCAGAGGAAGCATGGCAAAGCCACCGCACCCAGTGCGGGTGCCACGGGCAGAGCAGGCCAGTGTAGGAGGGAAGGCCTGGAGGTAAATGGGGTGCCGGCACCCCCAGTCTGACCAGGCAAGGTGGGCCTGCACCCCTCCACGCAAGGGGAGCAAGAGCACGAGGCTTCTGAGCCAGAAGCCAGGGCAAGACTGGGGGTGGGGGGCTTAGCTGTGACCAAGCCCCCAGCTGAGGCCCTGGCCACACCTCTTCCTCTGCCTGGGTCATGGAGGACAGTGGGCAGGGGTGGGGCCCTGGCATCAGTGTGTGCCTGAGTTGCTCACACTCCCTCCCTCAATCAGTGAGCAACAGGATGGGAGAATACAGGGGATCGCCTTCTACCTCCTGCCCAGGGCCTGGGCTTCTTTAGGGACCAATCAGACCCCTCAGCCCCAGCCTCCCCAGATCTTTGCTGCTCACTCCCTTGTGAGCCGGTTGTGCAAGGAAGGGGCTTGCTCCGGGGCGGGAGCAGAGCACTGGTGCACCCACACGCAGGTGCCCTGCTGGTACAGCGCAGAGACCCAGCACACACACGCATGACCAAGCACACCTGTGCACAGAGGCACGGCACACATGCTCATGTGCAATCAAGTGTACATGCATGTAGTGGCACGGTGCACACACACACACACACAGGTGAGCAGAGACGTGTGCACCCAGTGCTGGATACACACATAGTAACATGCACACTTAGTGTCAACACTCACATGAGCGGGATAAACACAGTACGCGTATGGTCCACACTGAGAGGTGACCCGTGCACATGCGTGATGCACCCGTCACTAGTCTACACACATGCATCAAGCCTGGCAGCACAAGGGCGCAGCTCATCCACAAATTCACACCCAGAGTCGGCACCTCAGGGAGGGTGCAGACGGATAGCTCGCTGTGCCTGGCACACAGGAGGTGCTTCCTTCGTTAAGGCAGCTGTGCACACATCCTGAACCGCCTGCACTCCCAGGGCCGGCCACAGAACCTCCCACCAGAACCTCGAGCCAGTCTGTTCAGCCCAGCCCCCAATCCTTCAGATTCCTAGGTCACCCTGCCGAGCAGCCGGCCCCAGGCCCTACACGTGGCTTCAGCTGCCTGTCCCCCATGCACCGCTCTGGCGCCACGCGCCCAGACGACCCTGGCTGGAGCGGGACTTGCAGGGCGGGGGAGGGTCTCGGCCGTGGGCAGGTGACCAGCACGAAGGTGCAGACACAAAGCGGGATGGACACTCCCACGGAGAGGTGGCCGTGCAGACAGCAGCCCCGCCCCCGCGCGCGCGCCCTCCGCGTGAGGTGACCAGCACAAGGGGCATCTTTTGTCCCAACCCCTGACCGGGCCGCTGCGGGTTTTGTCCCAGACCCGCTCCTCCAGCTCCCGACACTCGCCTCCGCGCCGAGCACAAAAGCGGCACCGACGCCCCAGCCACGCGCCCATCCCCCGGCCGCCTGGGTGCCCCGAGGGGGCGGCGACCCTGGCGACCACAAAGGGCGCGTCCCGCGGGCGCACCTGAAACGCGGCGAGTCTTTGATGCACTCCTCGAACTCCACCGTCATGGCTGCGGCGGCGCGCGGCGCTCACTGGCACGAGGACCGCGGCGCCCCGAGCGGCATCCTCGGCCGGCCCGGCCCGCTTGTCCGACCGCCCGCCCGCGCTGCGCTCCGCGCCCGCCCGCCCCGGAATGAGGCCGCCGCGCAGCTGCCCCGCCCCGCCTGTCACTGCCGGGGAGCGTCGCTAAAGTCCGCGGCCCGCGCTCGCCGCCCGCTGTCACCGCTAGGGAGCGTCGCCAAATTCTCCTCCTTGAGGCCGCAGGCACTGCTATCTCCAGCCCGGGCACCCCGATGTCCCGCCCACCTTCGTTCCCAGGCCACTCCGGGTCGGAAAAGTAGGGCCTAGCAACAGTGAGACTTCGGTAGCCGTCGGCCCGGCCGCAGGGCGCGGGGAGGGCGCGGGCCCAGCTCTCTCCAGCAATCCGGCTGTTGCGCAACTCGGGGCGTTTGCAAAACCCTCTTGGCCGGAACGCGGCGGACGGACACGCTCCGCGAGAATGAGGGGCAGCGAGTGCGTGGGTAGGCTAGTGAGTGCATGCACGCGGGTGTGTGCGGGTCAGCGGGTGTCTGTGAGAGCCTCCTCCGGGACACCGCTGCACTAGTCGATCCCAAGCGCTCCGCAGCGGGCCTACACTTTGTACCAGCTCCCTAAGTCTGACCCCGCCTCCGCTCCCCCGCCCTTTGCGGCCGAGGGGCGTTGTGCCCGGCTGCCGGGGCGGGGCGAACGTAAAGGCGCAGGCGCAGGAGCGGGCGGGGTGGGGTTGTGTGGCCAGATTGTGTGCGCATGCGCGCAAGACACACGTGCGGCCTCCCCCCCCCCCGCCCCATCCGCTGGGTCCTACTCCGCTGGCGCCTCTCCGTCCGGTCCCGCCCCACCATGGGTTCTGGCCCGGCTGCGGGCTCTGTGCGGGCGCGCTACCTCGTGTATTTCCAGTACTTGGGCACGGACTTTAAGTACGTCTTTCGTACCTCCCTCAGTGCCCAAGACCCCCACGTGCAACCCGGCGCCGCTGGAAGCACCGGATCTTAACCCCGAGGGCAGCGGGCGACCTGGCGCCCGAGGGGAGGGCGGGCGTTATATTTAGGATTCGCACCTCCGGCCTCCGGCCCCCGCACCGGGGAATGAATCGCCGTGTTGGCCGCATAGAGCGGGATCCGGGCGGGGCCATCTCCTCCCGTTGACCTGCGTCCACCTGTGCCCACAGCGGGGTCGCGGCTGTCAGAGGCGCCCAGCGCGCCGTCGGGGTCCAGAACTACCTGGAGGTGAGCTCTGTTGGCCTGTCGCCCGGATGGAGGAGGGCGACCCCGGGGAGGGGCAGATGGGAGCCCTGCGCCTCTGGGAGCACGGAGAGCGGTCCTTCGGGACTCTGGTCCTTGCCCTGCGCTCCCGCTCAGCCGCCGGTCCCCGCAGGAGGCCGCAGAGAGGCTGAAATCGGTCGTGCCGGTCAAGTTCGTCATCTCCAGCCGCACGGATGCTGGGGTCCACGCTCTGAGTAACGCTGCGCATCTGGACGTTCAGCGCCGCTCAGGCCAGCCGCCCTTCTCACCTGAGGTCCTGACCCAGGCCCTCAACACCCACCTGAAACACCCCGCCATCAGGTGCACACCACTGTGCACTCCCTCGCCCACCGTGGGGAGAGGCGGGGGTCGGGAAGTACTGCTCCTGGACAGAACTTCTGGGAGTAATGGCACACTTGTGGGGCGCCTTCTCTCTGGCGTCCTGACCTTCCCCCCCACAGGGTCCTGCAGGCCTTCCGTGTGCACAGCAACTTCCATGCCCGCTACGCAGCCACATCCAGGACCTACCTGTACCGCCTGGCCACCGGCTGCCCCCGGCCGGATCAGCTGTCTGTGTTTGAACGAAACCGATGTTGGGCCCTGCGGGCAGAGTGAGTGTGGGTGTGACAGTGAGTGGGAGGGGGATGCCAGGCCCACTAGGCTGGCCACTTCCTCCTGACCACTCACCTGGCTCCCTGCAGTTATTTGGATGTGGCCGCCATGCAGGAGGCCGCCCAACACCTCCTGGGGACACATGACTTCAGCGCCTTCCAGTCGGCTGGCAGCCCATCCACCAGTTCAGTGCGCACATTGCGCAGAGCCTCAGTGTCCCCTGATTCAGGCAGCCCCTTTGTCCTCCCTCAGGAGAGCAGGTGAGAGGACAGCCTGCATGCTGGCCTGGAGGCCGTGGGGGCCTGACCGAGCTCCAGCACCTTCCCTGGCAAGAACAGAGCAGAGGCAGGACATGGCTGGATGGAGGGTTCCCTAGGCACCTGGTGGGGACATGCTGGGCAGTTGGGTGGTACCCATGAGCCTGCAGCTGTGCCCTCCCCGCCTCCCTGTCTGGGGTCCCTGCCAGGCTGGGGGACAGGGCAGAGAATGCTGCTTTTGTCCGAGGGCTCACTGACTAGTGGATGGCTCCTGGTAGCGGCTGTAAAGGTTCCGCTGGGGGAGAAGCACCAGGCCAGTGGTTCTGGCCCAGCCTGATGGGGCAGGTTCCACTACCCCCACCCAGCACTGTCCCAGGGGCCTCCTGCCACATGGCAGATGCTGATTTCTAGAACCTTCTCAATGTGGAGCACTGAAGGGAGGAGGAACTTCTACACGGTCAGCCTTGGACTCACGCCAAAGAGCCCCCGGCCAGAAGCTTAGGTCTCTAGCAGATGAGCTGGCTGCATGCCCCTCCCTCAGCTGCCCCAAAACCGGGACCAGGACTTAGCACCTTGCCTGAGGGCCCTGCCCCCACAGCAAGGCCCCAGAAAGCTCTGCCGCCCTCCCACTCACAGCCATCTCCCTCTTACTGGTTTCCTTTAAGAGTGGGTGGTCAGTGGAGGTCCCTGGGGTGGAAGAGAGGGTGGGAACCAATCTTTCCTGGCCCCCTGCGCTGCCCAGTCCACTTCCCCTGCCTGGGGCCAAACTGGGCTGGGACATCACAGGTTCTTGTGTCCCCAGAAGGTTGCAGTTCTGGACCCTGGAGTTTGAGAGCCAGTCCTTCCTGTACAGACAGGTAGTCTGTCATGAGGCCATCCTGGGGCGGGGACGGGGCTTGGGCCACTGTGGCAGTCTTTGCCTTGGTCCCAGGTGCGGAGGATGACAGCGATCCTGGTGGCTGTGGGGCTGGGGGCTTTGACACCCACTGAGGTGAAGGTGATCCTGGAGAGCCGGAACCCCCTGGGCAGGCCCCAGACACGTGTGGCCCCAGCCCACGGCTTGTTCCTGAAGTCGGTGCTATATGGGGGCCTCGGGGACCTAGGTAAGTGGCGGCGGCCTGGAAGGTCCCTGCTTGTACCCCACTGATTGTCTAGCCTGGGTCCTTGCTGGAGGAGCTCATGGTGGCAGTGTTGTCATAGCCTTCATGTCATCCTAACAGCCGGGAATCCAGCCTGTGCCCAGCAGGAAGCCAGCATCCAGGGGGCAGAGAGGCCCCGGGTCAGCCGGAAGACCTCAGGCGGGAGACCAGTGGCCTAAAGGCAGGCGGCCTAGAGTGAGGTGCTGGTTTCCCCGAGTTGCCACAGCCCCTCCTGACCTGGTCCTGTGGGCAAGTTATCAATGGGGGAGGGAAGCTGAGAGGGGGGCGCATCAGACTGAGAAGGGCCTCCCCAGCCCCTGCAGAGAACCCCCTGCCCCAAGTTGACCTAGGGTCTGTCCACAGGTCCTGCCGTCAGCAGCCCCCGAGCTTCTGTCCTAAGTGCTCTATGGGGTCCGTAGCACTGAAACCACAGATGACCCCCCAGATGCTCAGCCAAAGTCAAGGCAGCCAGGCTCACTAGGCTGGGCCACAGCAGGCCTCCTGCCTCCCCAAGTCTCTGCTGTTCTGGGTGCCCCAAGGGTGGGTACGGAACAGGTATGAACATCGCAAAGGGAATATACAAGCAGCCCTTATTTTTGTTTGTACTGAAAATTAACACACCGGGCCCAGAAGTAGAAATAAAAGGTGAAGAGATCTCCAGAGCTGTTTATTTCTTCAGCTAAAAACGGCCCCTTGGGCAGACATGTGACACTGTGGTCCTGTCCCCATGGACAAAGGCTGTGGCCAGCCGTGGGCGCCACGTCCACGGGGGAAACCCAGGGCACAGATATGGTCCTAGAGCAGAAGCCCAAGTCCCTCCAGCTGGGCAAAGGGCAGGGCGGCCTCCTGGCAGTCAGCTGCCTCCGCCGGGGGCCTGCGGCACCCCCTTCTTGAGCAGGGCGGTGAGGTGGCTCCCCAGCTCTTCATCCTGCAGCAGAAACCCAGGGGCTGTGGCGCCATCCTCCCCACCCCACCCAGACCGCCCAGGGTGATGGGGGGACCCCTCCTGACCCACTGCCAGGCGCAGGCCCGCCTGGGTTCTGCCACGTACTTGGTAGGTCCAGGAGACCAGCAGCACCTTGGTGCCCGGGTCCTCTGAGTGGGCGGCGGCCTGGATGAGGATGGACTCCACGGTCACGGAGCCATCCGGAAGGTGCTGCACGCAGTGGTCCTTGAGGACGCTGCGGGGAGGCATGGTGAGACCCTGTCCCTGCCTGCTCACGCCCCGCCCCCCAGGGCCAGAAGAGGCAGGGCCAGTGCCCACCTCTTCAGGTGGCTGTAGACTCGCATGGCAGTCTCCTGCTCTTTGCGCGTGTCGTGCAGGTGCACGCGGCAGGTGAAGCGCAGCTGGTGCTCGGCCATGCCCAGCTCCTTGAGGGCCTGCTCTGAGGACACCAGCCGGAAGTTCTGTGGGGCAGGGGCAGGTCAGGGAGTGCGGGAGCTCCCCCACCCCCCGAGACCACCCCCGTGCACTCACACTATCCTTCATGATCAGGGTGCCATGCAGGAGCCGGGGTTTCTTGGCGTCAGGGAGCAGCCCTGCAGAGAAGGGGGCAGGGATCAGAGCTGTGGGCAGTCAGCCGGCCCCACCCGGCCCCGCCCTGCACGCCTGTCCCCACATACCCTGCGCCATCTCCCGCTTCAGGAGCCCCAGCGAGATGCCCACCGGGATGCTGGGGCTTGTGGGCAGCGTCACTGTCTCACCATTGGCTGGCATGTAGCAAGTGACCCCTGGGCGGGGGGCAGGGACAGCCTCAGTAAGGGGGGACCGGCCCTGCCTGCCCCGCTCTCCACCCCACCCAACACCCCGCTGGCCGCCTACGGAACTCCTGCTCGATCTTCTGCTTCAGGAACTCCATCTTCTTGGCCTCCCCGTGCACCAGCAGCACGCTCTCAGGCTCCGCCTGGCCCACCAGCTGCATGATGCCCTTCGCGTCCGCATGGGCACTGAACGACATGTACTCCACCTGCATCTTGACCTCCAGCTGCAGGTCACAGCACACAAGGCCGTCACCACCCACCTGGGAAGGTCTGAGGAGTGCTGGGGAGCAGGGGGAGACTCACCAGCTGCCGCCCCTCCATCTCCAGCTTGCGCTGCCCACTGAGGATCTTGTGGCCCACCGTGCCCTGCACGCAGTAGCCAGGCATGATGACCTTGGGGGGGAAAAGGGGCGGAGCTGCTGGCACCTGCATGGCCTCAGGGCTTCCTCTCTAGAAACCCTCACCTCATCTCTCCGCCCTTCAACCTGAACCCTTGCCAGCCCCGCTGCATACCTGGGCGGGCTCAGGGACCTCAGGCACAAGCCTGCCCACACCTGACCGCCATGACTGCTGCTGAGGGCGTGGGGACCTTCCTGCCTGGGTGGGACACTGGGAACCAGGATACTGAGTCCCCAGACAGCAGCAGTGTCCCCAACCAGGGGAAACTTGCTCCCCCACCTCTGCCTGACCTCACAGGCCCTTCAAGGAGCCACCAGGGGGCCCAGATCCCTCACCATGTTCTTCTCGTTCCCTGCCCACTTCCGGAAGATCTGAAGGGACTGGCCAGCGTGCAGCATGCCCGGCGTGGCAAACACGACCTGCGGAGTGGCCATGGGGGCAGTCAGGTAGCCCATGCTCCGCCTGCCCATGAACTGGGCCAGGCCCCACCCTCTGCCCTCTTTCCCGCACCACGGGTGTGCCCCTCCCATGGGAGACCCGCAGGCAGGGATCCTGGCAGGCCCAGACACACATGTGGACCCCAGCCTGGGTGGGCCAGCCTGGCTACAGCGGGCACAGGCTGGCCACGTGCACCCCGCCACCCCTGGCCGGAGCCTCACCATCGGACCCGGGTTATCAGCAAACGCTCGGTCAAAGGCCTTGATGTGCTTGAACTCGAACATGTTCCTCTGGACGAAGGTCTTACGGATCTTCTGATTGGTCCAGGTGATGAAGAGCTTGTAGTAATGGTTGGCCTTCTCCGTCAGGCCCGTGGAGAAATAGATGGGGGCCTTCAGGTTCATGCGCTCCCTGTGGACAGGGCTGCGTCACCGCTGCACCTCGGCTTGCACCTGCATCCAGTCGGGTGGGAGGAACACAGCCCCCCGCAGTCCCCCACCCCAGCGCTTCTGTGTGGAAGCTTGCACGTGCGCGGGAGGTCAGTGCCCTCCAGGCTCCGGCGGCGCCCACGAATGGGCATCCTGACCGCAGGTGCCTCATGCACCTGACAGCCGCCAGTGCTGCGTTGGCTTCTGCAGCCTGTACTCTTCCTGGAACCAGGCCAAGACCCATTGGGCTGGACATGGAAGGATGTCATTGCCCACTCACAGGCAGTCAACCCCGCTCCCTACTGCCCGCGCAGGCCAGGGCACCCAGAAGCCCCCACCTGCACCTACCAGAAGGTCTCCAGCAGGATACAGAGCTCCTGAGCGCGGCCCAGTGCAAACACTGGGATCAGCACCTGTGGGGACGGGGCGTTTGGGTGGGAGCCCCTGGCCACTGCCCACCCAGGTCAGGCCCCATGAGAGCACAGTGCATGGGCAGCTGCTCCCTGGGGCCCCCTTCTCAGGCCCCACTAGCAGGTCTGATGGCCTGGGGCTACATCCACGGAGGACCCACCCATGTCTGCCCCCAACCCCTGCCCCCGGCCACAGCCTCTCTATGGTGACCCTGCAGGAAGCTCTGGCCAGCCCTTCATTGGGATCAGACACATGAGACAAGCGCCCCTCGGAGGGTCTGCGGAGCTTTTCTTCCCAATGCTGAGCAAGCCCTCCTCCGGTGCCCTGCCCGCCCCTCTGCCCGGGGCCAGCTACCTTGCCGCCACGCTCCACGGTCTCATGCACCTTCTTCAGGAAGTCTCGCTCCCGACAGCGCTTGGAGTCGCGAATGGTCGTGGCATATGTGGATTCTGTGATGAGCAGGTTGGGGCGGCATTTGTCAATCCAGGCAGCTCTACAACAGAGGGCACAGCCCAAGGTGGGCAGTCCGCACGGCCACAGGCTGGGGGCAACAAGCTGGACCCCAGCCCCGGACACGGCCAAGGCCCTCCGGCTGGCAGCCTCCACCCCTGCAAGGCCCAGGCAGTGGGACGTCACGGGCAACACTCGGGGGTAACAGGAAACAGACTCTGCCTTGCACGGGGGCCACATGGGGACACTGGTGTGCTGACCGCTCAGGCACCCAGCACATCCGCGAAGGTCAGTGCATTCTGGGGGCGGGGGCGGGGGCCTCCACTGGATGAGACAAACACACCAGCCAACTTACCCCAGATGCCGGTCCGGGGTCATGTTATAATCACCCTGGCAGAAAAAGCAGCATTCAGGGAGGTGCCTCCTCCCCACCCAGGCAGCCTCCTATGCCCTGTGCACTTCCACTCACCGTGTAGACCACAGACTCTGAGCCCACCCTGATCTGGAACATGGCGGCCCCCAGCACATGGCCTGCGTAGTAAGCCTTGATCTCCAGCTCGTCGTCCACCTGTGGAGGATGGGGTTGAACTCGAGTCTGTGGGCTGTGCTGGGCGCGCGGCTGGCGGAGGACAGCACAGGGCTGGGAGGAGGTGGGCACAAGAGATGACGTCGTTCTAAGCCTTTCATTTCTTCCTGTTTCCCACACAATATCAGCTTTCAATCAAAAGTGATTGAACACAGGGCCGGCCGAGTGGTGCATTGGTTAAGAGCTGGCTTGGGATGCCAGAGGGCCCCGGTTTGGATCCCACATATGAGGGCCAGTGACACTGCCCTCCACAGCTAAGATGCTGAACAGCAGCTCAACCTGGAGCTGGGCTGCCATGAGGCGACGGCGACAGCGTAGGCTGCAGTGGGGCTGCAGTGGGTTGCCATGGGCTACCGTGAGTGGCTGGCAGCCAATATGAGCTGCCAAGAGCCGCTGTGAGCGGCCGTCCAGAGGCTGGCGACCGATCTGCCTCATCCGGGAAGAGCGCAATAATACCAACATGGGCCAGTGAAGCAACATCCTCTACAACTAGACTGAAGAACAAAAGGACAGCAACTTGTCTGTTCCCCTTCCCCCGATTCTCCAGTGCTGTTCCCCTCCCCCAATTCCCCAATAAAATCTTTAAAAAAAAACAAAACACAGTACTTAAAAGAGCCACACTTAAAATATACCGTTACAGAAAGGTTGAAAGTAAAAAATAAATGGAAAAAGATGTACAACATAAATAGTAACCAAAGGTGAGGGAGGTGGGAATGGTGTAACCATATTACCAGAAAAATGACTGAAAGGCAAAAACCATTACTAAAGAGAAACATATATACTTCACATTGACACAAGGTTCAACCAGGAAAAAATGACCCAAAATATGTAGGCATCTACTAACTAACAAAACCCAGAGAGACGTATAACCTGGATCTTTACCAAATGCGATGTCGCCACCTCGGGGAAGCCCTTCGTCCCCCAACCTGCACACAGCGGTGACTGAGGTGAAGCCAAGTCCACGGCGCTGGGCGCCCTTGGGGCTCGCCCATCTCACCACCGTCTCCGCCTCCCCAGCTGGCCGGCACACCCACAGAACCACTGCGCTCACGACACAAGTGCCACCGGCCTGTCCCTCTCCACCTCCTCCACACACACAGTCACAAAGCTGGGTGAGAGCAGAGGTGCTCCACCCTGCACCCTGCGCCGGATCTGGGCCGGGCCCCATGCCGCCTGGGGGGCGCAGGGCCTGACCTGGACAGTCTGGTGGAGGTGGACGGCCACCACCTTCTTCATGCAGTCCTTGATCATCTGCGAGGTGAAGAAGTTGGCCTCGCCCTTCTTGTCCACGGCGATCTTGCGGTAGTCCTCCAGCAGGATGGGGCAGATGGCCTGGGTGGGGTGCGTCATGTAGATGGGCCCATCGTAGCCCACCATCTCGCTGAAGTAGGGCAGCGCCCCGCAGTGGTCCAGGTGGAAGTGGCTGTGGGGACAGCACGGTCAGCAGGCTGCCACACCTCACCCAGCCCACCCTCCACAGCCTCTGCACACAGTGGGCTCATCATTCCCTCGTTCCCTTGCTCACTAAGGGCCTCCTGTGCGTGCGGCACTGTGCTAAGGACTGGAGAGTGAGGGGTGAGCAAACCAACAGAAGCTGCTATCTTCCTGGACCTTACAGTATAGATACCTAGTTTAGTGATGAGCAAATAAATAGTTAAAACATGTGCCAGACGGTGACACATTCCATGAAGAAAGAGCAGCTAAGGGGACAATGTACCACAAGTCACCACCTTCGGTGGGTGGCACAGGTACTGATGGACAGCGCTGGGATGAGGCCTAGAACGATGCTGGGGCAGAGGCAACAGCAGTGCTGTGCCGGCCACAGATGAAGCGGACGCGTGGGGACCAGCCCTCATCCAAGAAGGGACTGTGCCCTCAGGAGCCTCAGAGTATCTGAGGATGGGCTGCCCGAGATGGGGCACCTCTGGCTGTGGGGAGAGCAGACCAGCAGGGGCTGCTGTGGTCACCCAGGCCATGCGGTGACCGTCAGGGTTGTGAGAGGGACTGGACCCCAGCAAGGTCTGTGGACTGTCTGGGCAGAACATGAGAATGAGAGGAAGGGAGGCCCCGAGGTGAGGGGGACAGGAGGCCTGTGAGGGTTGATGATGGGGTTGAGGGGGGAAGGGGAGGTGGTATGGGCACTGCTGCCAATTGCTGCTGAGTGAGAGGAGGCCCGAGGAGCGGCCTGGGCTCGATGGGTGAAACACCACCTGTGACTGCGGGGGCCGCCTCCCCATGGACCAGCTGCCCTGACGCGGCCTCATTTTCCTAGGGTACCTGAGCTCTCGTCCACGACAGTTGGGGCCACAGCCAACAGGCACACACAACACTGCCCCCCCACCACAGGGCTGACTGCAGCCCATCAAGAAGCAGCGGTGAACACCTATGACCACACAGGAAGATGCCACCACTGGGGCCCGCATCCGGTGGAAAGGGCCAGCCCTGGGGGTAAGCCACAAGGGCAACCTGGGACAGAGCCCAGGGCCACAACACCCTGAGCGGCTTCCCTTGGGCTCCTGGGGGCCCTCGAGGCGGGGAAGGTGCACGCCCGCACAGCACGGCACTGCCACCAGCAGCTGGCAGGGGCCCACCTGATGATCACGCAGTCCAGGAAGTCAGTCAGCCGGCCATTGCGGGTGATGTAAGAAAAGTCGGGGAAGCGCCTCTGAGGAGCCAAGAGCAAGCATCAGAACGTAGCAGGCTGCCCGGCCTCAAGGGAGCAGCTGGACACAGCACCCCTATTCCGGTGGGCTGCTCACAGCCTCCAGGGATCAAATGCCGGAACTGGTGACTGAGCCAGAAGCCCAACCTGGGGTGCGCCCAGCCTACCCACCAAATCTGCAGAAGCCCACAAACCCCCTCTGTGTACAGACTGCCCCTTGTGCAGGGCACCCCACCTGTCAAGTGATGCTGGGGGGCTGCCCAGCAATGCAGTAATGCAGACCCACCTGCCCCCTCCACTACCCATGAGTCCAGACTGTCTCCAATCTATGGGTCAGAGCCTAACACTCTGAGCCCCGGGGTCCTGGTGACGGGCCCTCCTCAGCCCCATAGGTGTGTCTGGGGACTCACGTCATCGTTGAAGCCCATGTGCATCCCACAGTCCAGCATGACATTCTTGCCCGCAATGGAGACCAAGATGCAGCTTCGGCCCACATCCTGGCCAGCCCCTGCAGGGAGAGCAGGCTGGGGTGCTTCCAAACCCTCCCCTCCCCCACTACCCTCTGTCCACCTGCCATGTCCCTGTAGAGCCCTCAGTGGGCTGCTAGTGGATGACACGTGAGGCGGAAACATTGCTCCCTCCACATGCGGATGGGCAGGGGAAATGTGCAGGGAGGGGACAAAGGGCCACGTCCTCCAAATGAGCTCTAGCCCGAGTGCCCCCCCCCACTGTGCCTCCAGCCTCAGGCCTGGCCTCTGCCACCCCGTGTCAGATGGAAGAAGCCCCACACCTCTCAAGACTGCAGTCCACCCACTGTGACCCCTCTGGAGCCTGGGGGTCCAGAAGGAAATGGACACAACCTTGCAAGGCCTGATGACAGCGAACAACATGCTTTCCGCCTTGAACCCTATGAGCCTCCCTCTGCTGGCCCCCTGACCTGTCAGCACCCATATGCCAGGGTGACAAGGCAACAGCCCAGAGCAGGATGCAGGCTGGTCCTCGAGAAGCTTGTCGCCCATGACAATAGCAGGGGACACCAGCCAAGAGCTCAGCCTGCGTGCCTCAGGCAGCCCAGCCACAGGTGGTGGCACTGAGATTTCTTACAGGTCACTCCTGTCCCACCAGGACCAGCCTAAGGGCCGGGTCTTAGCCGTCTGCTCCCTGCTGGACCTCCAGTCCTGGAGCCATGCCAGCTCAAGGCCCTCCAGACATTTATAGAAGAGAGAGAGACGAGCCACCCTTCTTTACAGACGAGGATGTGCAGCCACCAAAGTTGTGAGCTGAACCCCCCAGGGGGGCACATGGCTCCTAGGCATGGGCCAAGGACGGCCTTCCAGATTCCAGACCCCAGCTCTTAGGTGCTGGCCGCCTGTCCACAGCAGAACCCACGACAATCCCAGGGAGCAAAGACAGTGGCCAGAACTGGTCAGGAGATGTGGGGAAGAGTCCAGGAGAGGGCAGGACTCAGAAGAAAGCGAAGGAGACGCCCTGTCCACAGGGAGCTCGTGTTCCAGGCGAGCACGTGGATAACACGCCGATTGTGTCGGCGGACATCAGCGTCATGGAGGTAAGGCGGGCAGAAAAGGGGACACAGAAACTTCCAGAACCACGACAGGCTTGACTTGTAAGCAGGGTGGACAAAGACGGCCAGGAAAGGGGCAGGTGCACAAACGCCCTGTGGCCCAGGTAACCTGGGAGCCTGCACGGCTGGAACTGGCAAGGGAAGTCAGTGGGGCAGAAGCAGTTCTGCTCTCATGGTGCCGAGGCTGAGGGACCTTGGGGCACACTCAGGTGCAGACTGGGTAATGGCAGCAGCAAAAAGATAGGGCTGTGCAAGGAGAGTGAGCGGTGAGAAAAGGAGCCCAATGGGAAGGGGGACCCTACAGAGGCCCCTGGACAGGAGCCAGGGGCAGGGAGGGTGTGGGGCCACCGGGGCCAACAGCTACGAGAGGCCGTGGGGGTGACAATGCCTATGGCAGCGTGGGGTGTCTGCTGGCCAAGGGCAAGGGCGTTCGCTGTGGTTGTCAAGAGCTCAGTGTCCACACTGGGGGCTGAATGGGCTCTTCTGACCAACAGCTCGCACCCTGAGGAAGGACGTGGAGGTGCGTGGGACATCTGTACCGGAAGATGCTCCCGACACAGCCCAGTGCAGGAGACGGGTGCTGGAACGGCTCACGATGTGTACGGGAACACCACCCAGAGGAATCTGGAGGGTTGGCCACCAAAATGACAGCCCCAGTTGTTTCTGGGACCCTGGGGTATGCGCAATCTTTCCTCGTTTGCACTGTTTTGAACTGTTCAAGCTTTTTAAAGTGCACATTTATATCTTTTCAAAAAGCAAAGCTTTTTTTTTTTTTTTAGCTGAGCCATCCTGCCACCTGTTGGCAGCTCAGCAGTAGCTCAGCTCAGGCCAGGAATCCAACCGCTGTTGCTCAGAGCGAGCTCTTAACCAACTGAGCCACTCAGCCGGCCTAAAAATTATTACTTTTTTAACATTGCTGAGGTCAGGTAAGACAAGGGCTGAACCAGGTTGGGTAACAGGGAGGCTGCAGGCAACTGGGTACCAGAGAGAGATGGACATGGGAGGAAAGTGAACGGTGGGAAAGGAAGCAGAAGCAGAGAGCAAAGGCGACGTGAAGCATCAGTCCACGTACAAAGGGAGGAAAAATGTGGAGACGGCGTCGCTCGGAGCCCGCTTTAGGCGGTCTCGTCCTCTTCACTGTTAGGAAAACTGGGGACACACCGAGTAGTGGGGCAGGACGCGACCCCAAAGCCACCCCTTAAGCTTCTCTCCACACGGGGCCTGAGCTGGGAGGAGCAGCGGCCCGAGGCCTCCGTGACCACAGCCGGCCCTCGGCGCCCCCGGGACGCGCCCCCGGGACACGTCCGCAGACCACCGCCAACGCTGCGCCCGCGAGGCGCCGGTCTCGCGCCCCTCACTCACCCAGGGGAGTGACCCTGATCTCAGGCATCCTGCCCGGGCGCGCTCCCAGGTGCAGTCGCCTCTGCGCTCACCGGGCCGACGCGCCCACTGCGGCCGGACAAACCCCGGGACCCCGGCAACCCGACCGCACCAGAAGCGGACCTGCGACAACGCACTGCGCAGTCCCAAGGAGGCCCGCTTCCGGTCTCACGCCGGATACCAGGACCTTGCGTTCGGCCTCCTGATTGGGCGGCAGGCAACCAATCCCGGGCGTCAGGAGGCGACTGGGCGGTAGGGGGCGGGGCGCCGGGTCCTGCGGAAGCGGTGTCGGCGGCAGAGCAGGTGAGCGCAGGGCGGCTGCCTTCGGCCGGCCGCGGGGAAACGGCTGGGTCTGGGCATCGCTGAGGGGCCGGGGGCGGGACCCCGGGCGCGGCAGGGGGCGGCCGAGGACCCTGCTCCCACGCCGGCCCAGACCCCGGGTCTGGGACCCTGCCCCGTCCCTGGGCCTCACCTGGCGCAGGACCGGCCCGGACCCGGGCCCCAGGCGAGACTCGCAGGACTTCTTGGACAGGACCCCGCTCCCACCCTCTGAGCTTGGGGTGCCATTGTGGGTGCCCCCTTCTCCTGGGGGACACCTGTCATGGCAGTCACAGAGCTTGGGTGACAGCCTCCTGCTGAGCCCTGACCTTGGGGCTGTGGGCTGCCCCTGGGGGAGCCTTGGCAGCGCCCTGAATCACATCACCCTCCCAGAGCTGGCGGGCCGCCTACCCCTCCGCACAGCACTGCCCTTCCTGTTTCCAAACTCTAAACAGCTCCTGGCAGCTCCTGTTGGCTGCTGGTGTGGGCTCTGGGCAGGAAGGCCAGGCCCAGGCCCACAGGATGTCTGGTGGCCAGGAAGGTAGCCCTGAGTGCCACCGGAGGCTGAAAACCAAGGCTCTGAGGAGGGGAGGGGATGCTGGAAGTCTCGGAGAGCCGTTTTCCTAAGGCCAGGCACTGCTGCCCCCACCCCTGAGACAGGGTGAGCTCTCTTCTGGGGCTCCGCCTGATGTCAGGCGTGCTGGGGCCTTGGGGCACGCAGCGCCTTCAGCACCTACTGGGCCCCATCAGACCTAGGTGGTGGGCGGTGGGCAGGGCAGAGTGTGCTGGCCCATTTTTCCCAATGAAAGGACCAAGACTTATGGTGAGTGACCTACCCATAGAGTGGGAGGCAGAGCCTGCACAGGCTCCCCGGTGTCCTGTTCCTGGCTGGGGCTCTTACCACAGGTTAGATGCTCCCTCACTGGGGGCCCCCACAGGGAACCCAGCACCAAAGGCACAGGAATCCCCCAGGCCCAGTGGGACGCAAGTTTATCCTGGACACCAGGTGAGATGCGGCTGAGTTCCCAGGGCCCATCAGAGCCACACTGCAGTGCCAGCCCTGGGCACCCAGGGAGGCAAGGGCCAGGATGCTCAGTGACACCTATGCAGTGCGTGGGAGCTTGGAGGATGTTTGTGGAGTGACTGTATGCATGCAAGTGGGGTCCAGAGCAGGACTCTGCACCAGGGCACTTCCAGGAGGCTCCCAGGGCTGGGGGAGGGGCTGTGGCTGTCTTCACGGGGCGGAAAGACCTTTGGCCCAGCCACATTTGTGTGTGTGACGTGTACAGTTTCAGTAGGAGTGAGAAGAGCAATGTCTCTTCACCTCCAGCAAGTGCTGGCCCACAGCCTCTGCGTTGGCTTTCGTTTTTGTTTTTTGTTGTTGTTTTTTAGCTGAGCCATCCTGCTACCTGTTGGCAGCTCAGCGGCTGCTCAGCTCGGGCTGGACTCGAACCGCTGTTGCTCAGAGCTCAAACTCTTGAGCGAGCTCTTAACCAACTGAGCCACTCGGCCGGCCCTGCGCTGGCTTTCAAGATGGATGCAGCTGTGAGCAAGGGGATCGAGGCTGCCCAGCCCCCTCCTGGCCACCACCTTGCTCCACTGTCTCTTTTTCCATAGCTCTTATCCTCTTACCTACCCTGCCGGAATTTCCCGTCTTTGTTGTTGTCTGACCCCACCCTCCAACCAGAATGTTGCCATGACCAGGCTGGGCTGGTTTTCCGTCACCGAGCACCGAGTGCCTAGAAGAATGCCTGGCTCTGGGGAGGGACGCAGCTCGTGATTGTCCAACTAGTCAGAACAGACACTGCAGCGAGAGAGACAGGCAGTACACAAGTAAGCGAGGGGACGCACAAAGGGGTGTCTGTTGCGAGTGAGACACAGCAAAGTGGTTGGACCAGGCCTGAGTGATGAGGAGGAGCCAGGCGCAGGTCTGTGGGCACCTGTCCCCAGCGAAGGGCATGGCAGGGTCAGTGGGTGTGTCTGAGGGTGCCTCCCCAGCAGGGGGAGGTGGGCTTTCAGTGGACCCCAGCTGTTCCTTCCCTGCTGCTCCCGCCCTCTCCTCCAGGGAGTGAGCTGACTGTCAGGGAGAAGACAACCCACCAGCCCGACTCCCCTGCGTCTCAGTCCGTATTGAAAAATGGGTGACTTGGAGTCGGACTTCAACCTGAAAATCGTCCTGGTCAGTTTCAAGCAGTGTCTGAATGAGAAGGAGGAGGTGCTGCTAGACCCCTACCTCGCCGGCTGGAGGGGGCTGGTCAGGTGCGTGCAGGGGGCTGTTGCCCAGGGCCGGGTCCCTCCTGGCTACACTCCTCTGTGTGTGCCAGGCTCCCCCTGCACCCGGCTGAGTGCCCCCTTCCCTTCCAGGTTCCTGAATAGCCTGGGCACCATCTTCTCCTTCATCTCCAAGGACCTGGTGACAAAGGTGCAGATCTTGGAGTGCCTGCGCAGCAGCCCCCAGCAGGAGCACTACCTCAGCTTGCAGTCTATGGTAGCCTACGAGGTGGGCCACCAGCTGGTGGACCTGCAGCGGCGCTCCCGCCACCCTGACTCGGGCTGCCGGACGGTGCTGCGGCTGCACCGGGCTCTGCGCTGGCTGCAGCTCTTCTTGGAGGGCCTACGCACCAGCCCCGAGGACGCAAGCACCGCCACGCTCTGCACCGACTCCTACAACGCCTCGCTGGCTGCCTACCATCCCTGGGTCATCCGCCAGGCCGTCAGCGTGGCCTTCTGCGCACTGCCCTCACGCAAGGCCTTCCTGGAGGCCATGAACGTGGGGTCCCCCGAGCAGGCTGTGGAGATGCTGGGCGAGGCCCTGCCCTTCATTGAGCACGTGTACAGTGTCTCCCAGAAGCTCTATGCCGAGCACGCTCTGCTGGACCTGCCCTAGGGGCTGGCAGCCCAGGCTGCACGCTTGCCCTCCTCCAGGACCTGACCATCCCGCCATGGAGCTCTCCAGGTGCCCCAGGAGCGGGAACAGTACTGTCCCCCTGCGAGCTGAGCCCGGGGGGAGCAACAGGCCCCGTGTGGCCCCCTTGGGCTGCAGACAGCAGGCAGGCGCTGGCCGTCTGCTCTACACCCGTCCCCTCGCTCTGCCCGTGGGCAGCTTAGCTTTGCCCTCAGCCAAGTCCCGCGTGTGTCCACTCAGATGTCACCCAGGTGGGTGAAGTGCAGAAGGCAAGTGGGGGGCAGAATCAGTGTTTCTGTGAAAGCCCAAGGGGCTGCCCTGGCCTGCACATCCAGTCTGTGAAATGGAGGAAGCCACCCGTCCTGGGAGTGCCGACTCCTCGCCAGCCGACATGTCCAGCTGGTGTGTGTCCTTCCCAGGCCCTGGACACAGTGTCTGTGTCTGGCTGGGCTGCTTCTGGCCCCTCCATACCTGACTGGCTGTTGCCAGGGCAGCAGCTGGCATTGCAGCTCGCTCCCTGCCCCTCACCTTATTGGCTGGGGGTGGTCCACGTCCTCAACAGTTGATAGCCCAGAGCTGAAGCCCTGCACACACATGAGCTGCCTCCTGCAGCCACACTGCTGCCCGGTGCTCCCCCAGGCAGCTGCCTGTGTGTCTACACAGCACAGCCCCTGGGAGCCCATGACTCTGCTGGGCCAGCCAGCCTCTCCCTCCCCGGCATCCAGCAAGAAGCCGCATTCCCTCCTCCCTGCCCCTCGCTGCCCCGTCCGCATGGAGCTCAGGACACGCAGGACACATGGAGGGCCCTGAACCCTGTGCCTACTAGGCTGGAAAGTCAGCCACACCAAGCCCTTGGGAGCCTGGCCTGTTCCACTGGCTCTTCACTGTGATCAGGGCCTTTTTGGCACCAAGTGCCGGTGTTCCCCAAATGGCAGGTGTGCATAAGTGGAGCCTGGGGGACCCCTGGAAATTATAACATGGGTGATGGGTTTTCTGACCTAAATAAATTGCAATTACAGAACCAGGCTCTGCACTCCAGGATGGGAGTATTGGGTGTGCCTGGCACCTGCCCACCAAGGGGTAAGGGTCGTGCCCAGGCCACCATGGGGGGTGTGGCACTGCATGCCTGTCCTTGTGCTTGGTCCCCCCGGCCCCTGCTGAGGTCCACATGATTACCCCGTTTATAGGTGAGAAAACAGACACGAGTCACCCCAGGGGCTGGGTTGAAAGGACAGGTTTGGGTGGGGCCAACTACATGCCCTGTGGGAAGACACGCCCAGGCTGCAGCCAGGGGTGCAGGGGCTGCCCTGTGCACAAGAGTGGCCAGACAAACAGGGCACATGTCAGGAAGGGTCGTCTCACACTCCGCCGAATGTCAGACCCAAATAGCAGTGTCCATGCCAGGCTCTGCCTGCTGCTGCGTCCCATAACCAGCAGAGACCAGAGCCTGTGTGGTGCCAGCAAAGGCCGGTGACTAAAGAACTTGCCTGAGAGAACAGCCTGGGGTCCACACAGGCCAGAGAGCGAAGGCTGCACACAGCATGTGGGTGTCCCAAAGGTGTGTACAGTGTGGGCTCTCTACACAACAGTGGAGATGGACAAGCTCTGGGTCCCCAGGCCACCACCCTGTAAATGTCTGCTAGGCCTGCTGGGTTGATACACCCAGAGCCCCCACCCTGGGGCACCTGCGTCCTGGAGCATGGTGTACGGCAGGCCCCCAGCACCTGGAGGCAAAGCAGGAACTGCGGCCAGCTCCACTGCACACCTGCTGCCCCGGCTGCATTTGCTTACAGCCTCCTCTCCCTCCTTTACATGCAGGCCCAGCTGTGAGCTCTGCCCCCATAGGGAGGCACCTGCTGCGTTGGGCACAGTAGGGCACAACCAGCCACAGGGCTCCCGAAATTGCCAGGCCTCAGGCCTCTGGTGGAGAAATGGCCCAGACCCCCAAGGTCCGCTGTTCCCAGGCAGGCTGAGAGGCCACAGCCTCTGCCCCAGCTGCAGGATGAAGGCCAGGCTGGCCACTGGCCACTGTCATCCTGGCTGGTGTGCAGGCCTGTGGAACACCCCCTCAGTCTGCCCTTTGGGCCTGCAGATGGAGCCACTCCTGCAGTTCCCTCCTGACTGCTGACAGTGCCTCCCCAGGGCTGGAGAGAGGAGGGGTTCCTGTGCCTAGGCCCCAGGGCACTGGCACCTCCAAGCCCCTCCAGAGGCAGCTGGAGATCCCAGGAATGGGGTGGGTGCCGCAGGGCTTGGGCACAGGCAGGTAACAAGGTCATGGTCAGTGGCCGCTCAGAGCCTGCCTGCCCGGCTCACTGTTGGCCAGAGAGCCTGGTGGCATCAGGATAACAGAATCTGATGTGTGGAAACCTGTGGGCCTGGGAAAGCAAAGACATCTCCAGGGGCCCCCAGGCTTAGCAGGTGAGGACAGGTGAGGGTTTTGCTAAGCAAATCCTCCACCCCTCCCTGCCCCCGCTCACCATACCTGGGCTCCCCACCCAGCTTGCCAGCCCTGCCAGAAGCTGCTATCTGCCATGTCAGGTCTGGCTCTCCTGGGCCTCACGGCTCTCCTGGGCCTTGGGGTGGGGGCTCCGTTGTGCCTGTCCCGACAGCTCAGAATGCAAGGGGACTATGTGCTGGGCGGGCTCTTCCCCCTGGGCTTGGCTGAGGACACAGATCTTCGCAACAGGACACAACCAAGTACCATTCAATGCACCAGGTAGGATGCCCAGGGTGGCCAGGCTGAGGGTGGAGGTGGGGTGCTCCGGAGCTGGGATGAGGTGCTGGTCACCTGCAGCCCTGCGTGGCCCCAGGTTTTCATCACTTGGCCTGCTGTGGGCACTGGCTGTGAAGATGGCGGTGGAGGAGATCAACAGAGGGTCCACTCTGCTGCCTGGGCTGCGCCTGGGCTACGACCTCTTCAACTCATGCTCGGAGCCTGTGGTGGCCATGAAGCCCAGCCTCATGTTCATGGCGGAGGAGGGCGGTCATGACGTCGCTGCCTACTGTGACTACACTGGGTACCAGCCCCGTGTGCTGGCTGTCATCGGGCCCCACTCCTCCGAGCTTGCCTTTGTCACTGGCAAGTTCTTTGGCTTCTTCCTCATGCCCCAGGTGCGCCCCACCTCTGCTTGCGTCCCCCACCTCCCCAGCCCTGCCCACGGAAGCCCCCATGTCAGGATGCCCCCCCCACCCCCCCGCTGCAGGTGAGCTACGGTGCCAGCGCAGACAGGCTGAGCGACCGGGAGACATTCCCGTCCTTCTTCCGCACGGTGCCCAGCGACCGCGTGCAGGTGGCCGCCATGGTGGAGCTGCTGCAGGAGCTGCGCTGGAGCTGGGTGGCTGCCCTGGGCAGCGACGACACGTATGGCCGGCAGGGCCTGCGCCTTTTCTCCAGCCTGGCCAGCACGCGAGGCATCTGCATCGCGCATGAGGGCCTGGTGCCGCGCCGCGCCCCGCCCGCGCAGCTTGGCTCCTGGCAGGGGCTGCTGCGCCAGGTGAACCGCGCCAGTGTGCAGGTGGTGGTGCTGTTCTCCTCCGCCCGCGCCGCCCGCGCCCTCTTCAGCTACAGCATCCACAGCGGGCTCTCGCCCAAGGTGTGGGTGGCCAGTGAGGCCTGGGTGACCTCGGACCTGGTCACGACGCTACCCGGCATGGACCAGGTGGGCACTGTTCTCGGCTTCCTGCAGCGGGGCACCCCGATGCCTGCGTTCGCGTCCTATGTGCAGACCCGCCTGACCCTGGCTGCTGACCCTGCCTTCTGCGCCTCTCTGGACGCTGAGCAGCAGAGCCTGGAGGAGCACGTGGTGGGGCAACGCTGCCCCCAGTGCAACCACATCACGCTGGAGAACGTGTCCGCCAATCTGTTGCACCCCCAGCTCTTCGCCGCCTATGCGGCCGTATATGGTGTGGCCCAGGCCCTGCACAACACGCTACTGTGCACTGCCTCGGGCTGCCCAGGGCAGGAGCCCGTGCGGCCCTGGCAGGTGAGGCCCCTGCGTGTGCCCTGGGGGGACAGCAGTGGGGTGGGGGTTGGGCTGGAGGTCGTGTGCCCCACCCACCACCCACAGCTGGCACTGCTATCAGCTCCTAGAGAACATGTACAACCTGAGCTTCCAAGCGCACGGCCAGGCACTGCGGTTTGACACCAGCGGGAACGTGGACATGGATTATGACCTGAAGCTGTGGGTGTGGCAGGACCGGACGCCTGAGCTGCGCACTGTGGGTGCCTTCAATGGCCGCCTGCAGCTGCAGCTCTCCCAGATGTGGTGGCACACGCCCAGGAACGAGGTGAGTGCCGGGCTGTGTGTCCCCAGCTGCATATCGGCTCCCCCATGACCCCACCTGGGGGTGGGAGGGGGTTGTCCCTAGGTCCTGGGCAGATACACAACAGAGCCTGAGTCCTGAGGCTCCTGTGCCAGAAGCCAGTGTCCCAGTGCTCACGGGAGTGCAAGAAGGGCCAGGTGCGCCGTGTGAAGGGCTTCCACTCCTGTTGCTATGACTGTGTGGACTGCAAGGCAGGCAGCTACCTGCGCAACCCAGGTGAGCCCCTCCCAGGTGAGCTCCTTCCCTGGGGGCCTACTCAAGCTGCAATGTCAGGCGCACACAGCCTAAAGAGGGTCCCAGAGGGTCCTGGCTGGGAGGCCATTCCCTCAGTGCCCTTTCTCCTCCCACACCAGATGACCTCTTCTGCACCCAGTGTGACCAGGACCAGTGGTCCCCAGCCAGGAGCCTGCGCTGCTTCCCCCGCAGGCCCAAGTTCCTGGCATGGGGGGATCCGGCCGTGCTGCTGCTGCTTGCGCTGCTGGGCCTGGCTCTGGGCCTGGTGCTGACAGCCCTGGGGCTCTTCATCTGGCACCGGGACAGCCCGCTGGTTCTGGCCTCAGGCGGGCTGCGGGCCTGCTTTGGCCTGACCTGCCTGGGCCTCGTCTGCCTCAGTGTCCTCCTGTTCCCTGGCCGGCCCAGCCCTGCCAGCTGCCTGGCCCAGCAGCCACTGCTGCACCTCCCGCTCACCGGCTGCCTCAGCACACTCCTCCTGCAGGCGGCCGAGACCTTCGTGGAGTCGGAGCTGCCGTCGAGCTGGGCAGGTTGGCTGCGTGGCCACCTGCAGGGGCCCCGGACCTGGCTGGCAGTGCTGCTCGCCATGCTGGTGGAGATGGCACTGTGCGCCTGGTACCTGGTGGCCTTCTCACCAGAGGTGGTGACAGACTGGCAGGTGCTGCCCACAGAAGCGCTGGTGCACTGCCGTGTGCGCTCCTGGGTCAGCTTTGGCCTGGTGCATGTCACCAACGTCACACTGGCCTCCCTCTGCTTCCTGGGCACCTTCCTGGTGCAGACCCGGCCTGGCCGCTACAATGGCGCCCATGGCCTCACCTTTGCCATGCTGGCCTACTTCATCACCTGGGTCTCCTTTGTGCCCTTCTTTGCCAATGTGCCTGTGGCCTACCAGCCCGCTGTGCAAATGGGTGCCAGCCTCCTCTGTGCCCTGGGCATCCTGGTCACCTTCCACCTGCCCAGGTGCTACCTGCTGCTGTGGCGGCCAGAATGCAACACCCCCGAGTTCTTCCTGGCAGGGGATCCTAGCGGTGCCAGGGGGCAGAGTGGCAGTGGGGGTGAAGAGGAGACTCAGGGCAAAAGCGAGTGACCCTTGACCTGGTGACCTGACCAAGTGAGCTCAGACATAGTCAAGATGCCTCCAAACCAAGTCCCTATGCAGAGACCTGCAGACTGTGCCCAACTCTGCTGAGATTCTCACCTCTAGATCCTGATCCCAGGCGATCTGATGACCGTGGCCTGACAATGACCTCCAGGCCTGCAGTGTGCATGTGGGGGCTCAGCCCTGAGACCTTGCTACCTGGAGCCCCAGAGTCAAGCTCTGTCCTTGTCCTAGACAAGGTCTGCCTAGGGGCTGCAGCTGGGAAAAGGCCTCTAGAGGGCTACCCTGCAGCCCATGCTGAGCTCACACAAAGCTCCTAGCCAGGCCACTTGAAAGCCAAGCTGGGTGTCATTCAGCTGGCCGGCCATGCCTGGGTTTCCCCACCCAGCACCCCCTCCCATCATCATTGGAGTGGGAGGTTGGTGAGTGGGCTAGAGCTGCCCTGACCATGGGCCCCAGTGCAGGGCAGGCGCCTGCTCAGGGGGAAAGAGGCATCCAGCCTGCTCCCTCCCTGAGTGGGTAGAACTGAGTCAGCCCACAGCCAGCACCGCGGACAGAACCCAGGCAGGGTGGGGGGTCAGCACCAAGGCCAGCGCCAGCCACCAGGACCCCTGGATCCAGGAACCAGCACCACGGACAGAAGACTTCCCGCCAGGTCCTTGCCGGCAGGTGGCCAACACCGGGCTAGAGACTGAGCTGAGACCCAGAGGACAGCACCTGGCCAGTCCTGAGTCAGCTCTGGCCAGACCCTGGAAAAGCTGGACAGCCCCCATACCCCAATCTCCTAAGGCAGCTGGGCAGGAGAGAAGAGATACAGGCCACACGTTGGTCCCATAAAATTAAATGCTTTTTAGTGTTTAAAATAGCATTTCCACAGAAGCAGCTCTATTAACTATCCAGACGATACTCTGACTTGATCCAGTATCTACAGTGCAGACATGTGCAGGCCAGAGACACTGGGAAGGGAGCAGTGTGCAGGTGGGCAAGCACCTGAGGACAGCAAGGGAGAGCGGGCTGGCTGCCCCTCTCCCCCACACCCTCCCGCAGACCCGCCACAGCTGTCTGCATCTGTGCCTTCACCCCTCCCGCTGGCTGGAACAGGACCCTCCCACACACTTTCAGACACAAGCTGTCCCTGCACTCACTCAGACCCGGCGGTGGGGGGACATGCAAACTGCTCCAGCCAGGTGTGTGTGTGTGTGTGTGTGTGTGTGTGAGTAGGGGAAGGAGAGGGCTGGCTTGGCTACCACCTCCTCCAGAGGACACAGGCCAAGCAATAAATAAATAAATTATACCCCTACCATGGGCAGCCACAGAACGGCCCCGATTCCACCCCAGAGAAGCCCAGCCTGGGCAAGATGGGTGGGGCCCTAGAACTGGGTGACAAGTGGGGCCCAGGCCCAGCAGCCACCTCTCAGCTTGGTCTGGGGCCCTGTGTACAGCTCAGTGGTGACTGGGGGTCCCTGAGGCGCATGCCACGGGAGACAGGTCTGACCTGTCTGAGCAGAGACAGAAGCACCCTCACCAGGGTCTGCATGGAGACAGCTGCTCTGACCAGGAACAGACAGGCTGCTGAGCCCAGGCCAGGGTGGTCTGGGCTGCCTTCAGCCCCTCCCCTCTAGCCTGCTCCCACACTGTCCAGCCCCAGACCCCACAGCATGGCCCCTTGTGCACATGGAAGCACAGGCTGACCCAGGATGGCCACCGCTAAGGCAAGTGCCCTCCTGCGGGAATGGCAGGACCACTGGCTCCCCCACAGCCAGGTGGGGCTAAAGGCACGCTCTCCTCAGTCACATGATGTCCACGAAGAACTCACAGGGGTTCCCCATGGCCTTCTGGAAGGACTGGCGGCTTCCTGTCAGCTCCGGGGGGACAGTGGCCAGCTCCCGGACAGGAGGCCCCCCAGGCGGCCCGCCTACCACCGAATATGCCTTCGTCAGGGGGTGCAGTGGGGGGAGTCCTGGGGCGGCAGCCGAGGCCTGGCTGTGCGGACTGCTGCCGCGGCTGAGCTGGCTAGCCGGACGCTCCCGCCAGCTGTTTCCACCCACTCTGCTTGGGGCTGTGTGGTCTGACTCACTGCCACTGCCCCCAGCCCCAGCCCCCCGATGCTCCTCTCGGCCCAGGGCGCGCCGGCTGCTCCCGCCTGCACTCCGAGTGGACCCGCTGCTTTTGCTTCCTGGGGTGGAGAAGGGCAGAGAGGAATAGACGGTCAGTGCCAGGCCTTGCCTCTTCCAGGACAACTGACCACTGCGAGGGCACACAGGGGCAGAACCTGGTGTCCTGAGCTGGGCTGGGGTGGGAGGGGGCAGCCATGCAGACACGAGGGCAGGGCTGGCCCTCCCAGACACGCAGGAGCAGCTGCAGCAGGCCGGGAGCGGGGGGGAATAGTGGCAGGCAGGCAGGGACGCTCGGAGCCAGCTCGACGCCCCCACATCTCACCCCAAGGCCTGCACCGAGGGCCTGGTGTTGCAGCTGAGAAACTGAGGAACCCATGAAGGGCCCGTGTGCCGGCGCTCCTGTCGGCCATCCTGGGCCCCCCACCCAAAGACCCACCTTCCATTGGACCCCAGGGCCCTGGCCAACCACTCGGCTCAGCCCTGTCCTGGGTTCTCAGGAAGCGTTGGGAACCCGAGGACGCCGGCTGACTGGGGACATGCCGAGAGGGACACCGGGCAGGACCCTGGCTTACCGGCCCCGAGGTCCATTCCGCTAGTCCTTCAGTCTAAGGCTTGCTCAGCACAAAGCAAGGGATAGCATGAGTTACACAGCAGGCCCAGCCCAGCACCCATGCCCACCACCAGCCGGGCCTGTCCAGGGTCCACAGGCGCCCAGCACAGCTTCCCCTCGGGCACCGCTGCCCTCTGACCCGCTCTCCTGCCAGGTCCACTGGGCCAGCTGCCTGACCTGTCCCTAGACCCTGCGGGCAGACCCTGCGGGCACTCACCCACTATCCTCACTGACCCCACTCAGCCTTGGCCACTGCTTCTCCCCAGGGAGCCCCCCGGGCTCTCCTCTCAGCTCCCCACACATCCCAGTGTGAAGATACGGGCATCTGTGAAGCTGTGCCCCCCGGGCTCCCCACTGGGCTGCAGGTGCCGCATCCTGGGGCCCCTCTGCCACACCCCTGCCCCGGGTCACGACACCACCCTTTCCCACAGCATCTCCTGGCCTCTTGCCTCTGCCATGCCTGCAGCATCAGCCCCCCACAACCACCACAGCCGCCCCCTCAACCACTCACCACTTCCAACCAAAGGGAGCCACCCAGGGCCTGAGCACAGAGCAGGCAGGAGCGCACAGGGCGGGGGAGGGGGAGGGCGGAAGGCACACAGGGCAGAGCCAGGCGGTGGGGATGGCGGGGGGCCGGGCACCGCGGGTTCTCACCTTCACTCTGCTGACTGCCGGCACTGCCGCTGCCGTAGCTGAAGCCAGGGTCCTGGTATGCAGGCGGGAAGCAGGGCGGGGGCCCCGCGTACTGGTAGGGGTAGCCCTGGCCCAGGGCCCAGGGGGCGGCCGGGTGGGGCAGCGGGGCCAGCGTGTCCTGATCCGAGGCCCCACTGGAACCGCTGTTGAGGTTCAGGGCTGCGAGATCTGGCAGGAGGGGAGGGCAGGTGAGGGTGAGAGGAGGGCGAACGGGTCCCCCTGGGGCCCCCGCCCAGGGGCTCCCGCCCCACAATCCCCACTCACTGCTGCACAGGTCCCCAAAGACGTAGTAGCACTGCTCGGAGAAGGTGACCTTGTTCACCGTGTGCCGCAGGAAGCCCCGCTTCAGCATGCTGCTGGCGTACTTGCGTGCCTCCCGCCGCTCCTTGAAGCCGTCCACGTGGGTGTACAGCCAGTCCACCACGTCCGCCCCTGGCCAGAGGCCCGAGGCACGTGTCAGGCCCAGAGCCGCCACGGCCGCCGCCCGCGCCCCCAGCCCCGCCCCCGCCCCAGCTGGCCTCGCACCAATGACGGCATTGGCAATGGTGATCTTCAACCACATCCGGTCACGAATCTCCAGGCCAGAGTCCGGCAGCTGCATGACCCGGACCACAGCACCCATGTCACTCTTCACTGTCAGTGGCGCCTCCTCCAGCTCTGCAAGGCACGACCCTCCTCAGCCAGCAGTGGGAGGAGAGCTCAGGGCCGCTGACTGCTGTGCCCCCTCAGAAGCCGGGTGACTGCAACCCTCCCACCACTCGATGGAACTCAGGGCTGGGGGCCGGGGAGTGGGGTGACATTGGTCTTCCCCAACCAGACCTTGGGCCCAACCCAGGGTGAGGCCGCCCCCACCCGCAGCCCACCAGCTGGGGCTGTTAGTCGTGTTAGCAGCAGCCAAGCAGTAGGGGGCATAACAGAGTCCTGGGCAGGGACCCCAGGGCTGGCCAGCCCCCCAGGCACCTTCCACCCCCACCACACAGAAAGTGAGCACCCTGTCGGCACTGTGTCCGCACACATGGGCCTGGCAGCAGCATGAATGCTGAGGTTGGGATGGCCCTCAGGTGTGACCCTGCCGGGTGGGTACCTGGGCCTGGTCCTGGGCCCTGGTGCCTCAGTTCTCTAAACTCACGAGCTGCCACTTACGTGGAGCGCCGGGCACAGAGCTGGTTAGTGAGGAGGAGCTGGTGCGTGTGACGGCGCTGGAGCAGGGGCTCGTACCGTAGCGGGGCAGGGCTCCGGTCAGCGCCGCCGTGTGCGACAGCCAGGCGGCAGGGTCAATGGGCCGGACCGGGTCAGCTGGGCAGCCACCACGTGGCAACAGGTGGGTGGACAGGCAGTGGGGGAGGAAGTGGAGCACAAGGCACAGAGAAGAGAAGCCCTTCAGGCTGGGCTGGGGGCCCCCATCCCCCACCCACCAGCCCGTGGGGTCACTCACCCCTTGGGACGGTGAAGTAGCTCCGGGGGGTTGGGTCCCAGCACTTGGCCACAGTGAGACTGATGGGCCTGCAGTGGGGGAATGGGCAGGTCACACGGGTGAGGCCCCATGAGGCCCGCCCCCGGTCCCCCATGCCTCACCCCGTCTGGGACACGATCTCCCGCAGCACCCGCACAGCGTCGTCGTTGCTCATGTTCTCGAAGTTCACGTCGTTCACCTGTGGGGGGAGGGCTTTAGCCTGGCGGGCGGGGTGCGGGGCTCCCGGCCCCCCCGGGGCTCCCCCTGCCCACACCTGCAGCAGCATGTCCCCTGGCTCGATGCGGCCGTCCGCAGCCACAGCCCCGCCTTTCATGATGGAGCCGATGTAGATGCCACCGTCTCCCCGGTCGTTGCTCTGGCCCACAATGCTGATGCCCAGGAAGTGGTGCCTCTCTGTTGGGGGGTGAGGTGAGCAGCCCCGCCCAGGGCCCCCACCATGGAGGGACCCCACACCCCATGGAGAGACCCCACACCCCATGGAGGGACCCCACACGCCACGGAGGGACCCCACACCCCATGGAGAGAACCTACACCCCATGGGGGGACCCCACACCCCACAGAGGGACCCCCACCCCACCAGCGACCCCGCTGAAGTCTCACCCATGTTGAGGGTGACAGTGATGATGTTCAGGGACATGGTGGAGTCCGTGATGCTGCTGAAGGACGAGGCCTGTGGAGGGCCACCAGGTGAGGGGCTGCAGGCAGGGGCTGCGGGCGGGCGGGCGGGAGCGCGCGTCCAGCGACTAGCACAGGAAAGCGGCCGGCGAAGGGAGGGAGCCTGGGAGAGCGGGCGGGCGGGAGCGCAGACCCACCCATGTGCAGCCGCTACCTACGCGGTCCGTGTGCCGCATGCGCTGCTTCCGCCGTCGCCTCTTGTGCTTCCGGATGAGCCGGGAAGAGGTGCTCTGCTC